GGGGTTACATATACATATTTGCTTTAATCGGGGGGAACAGATCTATTATCAACTCTTCTCTTTTTGGATTTATTATGTATTTATATTTATATTATATTATATTTATATTTTATTCACACTACTTATTGGCTTAAAAAATATACGTTTGGAAAAAACTTTGAAATTTTTAAATTTGAAAATATTCATTCTACCATTGTAACCCCTCCGAACAGAGGTGCGTCTCCGCTGGCAGTAGAACGCATGACAGGAACATTTGAAATAAAAAAAATCCTGCTTTAGTTCATATCAAAATGGCGGATTTCAAACTTCGGTAATTTTTTTTAGTTATGACTCGAGAAACACAATCCTTCGTCCAATTCCTACGAAATTGTATTTGGAAGAATTTCATCAAGGTCGTCGACTGCGTAGTTCTCAACAATTTTTGACAACTGTCTTTTAAAGAACACAGTTTCGAGAAAAGCAAATTTAAAGTTCAAAGGCTTATCCTCCTACCTGCCCTTGAAAGCACACCTTTCCAAGGCTGTGTCTCCGAAACTTATTCGTATCGACTAGAAAATTTAGCATAATCTTCTCGAGGTATTGCAGAAATTAATAAAGGAATAAAAGATAGATTTTAAATAAATATATTTCTCTAAAGAGAACGTAAGATGAAATGAATGTCGCAAAATAGTCATAGAAAGCATGTGACAATTAAATTTTGTTTTTGTTTTTAACTTCTCTTGCAATTGCCTCAGCGGATATTCCAAATAATTAAAACTAAGTGTAAAGTAAATAAAATCTTGCTTATCTTTGTTGATTTTCATAAAAGCTTTGTCAACGTTATTTTTTCTTCCAAAATTTCCTAATATTGCATATGTACATATTTACTTAAAAGCAATACCTTATTCTTCTTCCATTGTCTTCATTGTTATTTTATATTTGTGTTTGATTTGCGCCAAATTGGTAAATGTTGCGTAGCTGCGTCAATACAAATTAAGATTTGAACAATTCGGTTAATGCTTCATTGTTGTTTTTGTATGTAAATATATATTTTTTTTGGTAAATATGAGAACACGCGCGTGGCGTATTGTAAACGTACGCTATTAAAAAATCCGCGCTTTGATGTTTTAATATATTTGTAGCAATTTAGAAAATTATTGTTTTCTTAATAATAATTAAAAAAAAACCACAACGATTTGAAAATGATGTATGGCAGCAAGTTTTATTTAGATATCTTTGTCTGATGACATAGTGTGTCTCAGATTTTTAATCAATCAAAATAAAGTGGTGCTAAATTATTTAATCATACACCTTTAGAGGGCTTCCAGAGGCGTATCGCCAAAAATAAATTGTCATGAATAACAATCAATCAAATTATGACAATCGGTTGGTGGTGGTTCTTTAATTTTTTTAGTCTTTTAAACATTTTTTTAATTTATATATATATATATTTTTAATTTTTATATATATTTTTTTTTAATTTTTTTATATATTTTTTTTTTAATTTAAAAAAAATTTTTTTTTTAATTTTTTTATATATTTTTATTTTTTATTTTTTTATTTTTTTATATATTTTTTTTTATTTTTTTATATATATTTTTTTTAAATTTTTTTATATTTTCTTTTTAGTTTTTATATATATATATTTTTTTTATTTTTTTATCATATATATTTTTTTAAATTTTTTTATATATATTTTTTTTAATTTTTTATATTTTGTTTTTAATATTTTTGTGAATTTTTCTTAAATTTTTTATTTCTTTAAATTCGTTCAACAAATTTTTTTTTGAATTTTTTTTTCCTTTTTTCAAAGTTTGTGTTTAGTACCTTTAAATATGACGCTCATTTATTTATGTACATATTATATAATATACATGTGAATGTGCGTATGTACTTAGTATGTGACAAACTGCACTTTAGCTAAGCCTTTCGTATTTGGCTCACTTGCGTCAGACATAAACTGCATTATTCATTTTGTTCATTCATCGTGCTTGAGGACCTTAAATATTTATTCAAAGTTTATATTTTTCATTATTTACAATTTTTTTTTTTAGCCAACAGTAGTTCCAGTTTATGATTTGAGCAAACATCTCTCCCTAATTCATATAGTAAATAATATGCGCCTTTTACGATCTGACGTTTAAGCGAGTACACGAGCTATATTTTGTTTTTGCTTTTACCATTCACTCTTTTAACTTGTTTTATGACCTGCACCGTCTCACTTGACTACAATCGGAATATTTTAACTACGCAGTTATTTTTTTATTTTACTCATACATATATTATAAGTATGTATGTACTTATCAGGTGCGCGTCAGTTCCGCTACTTAGGTTGTATACAATTGATTACGCTAGTTACATATGTACATACATATAAACAAGCATACATATAACCGCCACTTCTAGCAGGTGCTGCCATCAAAACAGTGGTTTTTGGAGGGAATTTCACTTACATTTGACAAGTTTAAATACAATAAAAACTTATTCTCCTCGAATATTACAACTTAACGATTATTCATTTAATTTTTTTTACTCTGTAGCTGTAAATTGCAATTGGAAATATCTTAATTGGCAGTTAAATTTTCATTTAACTTTATTTCACTTTCATTTGAGTGCGTGAGAAAGTTCGTTTTGCTCTGTTCTGTCTGTTCGTCACGCCTTTACGCCTCCACCAGCTTGAACGAATGAAACTTTTCTTGCAATTCGCGTCGACAGGGAAAAAACGGCAATTAACGGTCCCAGCGCCGCCGCCTCGTTTGTTTGATGCGAGTTTGCTTCGTCGTTGAGTGGAGTTGTTTTTAATTGTGTCAACTTTTTGCTGCCATTGAAAAACTTTTAATTATGTTAAAATGGGAAAATGTTGGCTGGAAAATGCATTTATATATGCACATATATATGTACGCCAAAAACATATTTGCGCATTAAAAATAGTTAAAGGTCAGCTGAAAGTGGGCGGGCCATCATCACGCCTTTATCGTATCACGATTAAACCTTTATGATGTAAATTAAATCAATTGATTCTGAAGCACAGTGGGGCTACGATTTACCTTTGGATTGAAAATCAGTTGGTGGGATATGTTTATATTGAAATTATACTAATTTTTCACCAATCTGTCGTTGATCCCTTTCGTATCATTTTTATTTCGATTTACATGTTCCTGGTCTCTTTCAAGACAACAAAGGGTAGTTTGAAAATTTACAGTTTTACACCGAGACTTCTGAAACCTGTTCACTGTGCGCTCCATTGGAAGCAGCATGATATGTACATATATACATATGTATGTATGTACATGAAATTGAAAATCATTTCAATACTCTTAATAATAAAGAGCCACAGGCCAACAATAATTTTATGCCATGTACTGTTGTAGCGTATCATTGCTGATGTTGTTTTCGTAGTTGTTGTCTACCCTCCGATTGACAATGGCTTGAATGCCGCCCTTTTCAAGTCCATTCCTGTCATATGCAAATATGTAACACATCTGTACACACGTATTGTTGGTATTGTTTGCTCGCTTACGCTCTATTAATTTTGGCGCTCCCACCGACCATCATGCTGCTGTTGCGCCTCCTCCACTGCTTATCACAAGCCTTGGTCATAAACTATCAAAAGAAAAAATAAGATAACAAATAATGCATACGCGCACATACACACATACATATACACTACAGCTAGTACAACAATAATAACACAAGCAGTATGACAAAATTTGTAATCACGCTCTTCACGTCTCACGATTATGCAATCGAGCTCGCACGCCGTTTAATCGGTCTAAATGTATGTATCTATACATACGTACATACATTCATATATACGTGTATGGGCGCGTAGGTCTGTGCGCTATTGTGTGACATTAAAGTTTTGCTGATAAGCTCACAAACTCACTCCCAAGTTCTATTGCTGAGCAGTTGGTTCGCGCGCACATTTCTTTATATTCGTTTCTTGTAGGCCACGGTATTCCAGCGGTGAGTGTTGTCAGGTTGTACTTTGTCGTCGTCGTCATCATTGTCGTTGATGAAAGAAAGTGTCGGGCAAAACGGTTTAAAAAAAAAAATTATAAATTTGTGTTTTAAATCTCAAACTTTGTGTATGTACACCACTGAGCGGCGGCGGCGGCGGGTGCTTTCAAAATCTAATGAACTCTTAGTGACTTATTTGAAATTTCAAAAAATGTTACTTTGTAATTAAATTGCGTAAAAAAAATCCAAAGACATACACATTTCCCTGAATTACTTTTGAAAAAATAAAATGAAATAAAATAATAAATAAAATTTCACTTTGCCAGCAGTACCGCTTGTATACATACATTCCACTTGGCTTTTCTTTTCGTCAAGCTCACTAAAGCTGAAATTCTTTGAAGAGCCGAATTGTGGTTAAACAATTTGTTAGTAGTAGGCGTGGCGCGTCACGTACATTAGCAGACATTGTTGGCATTGCGCTAATGATCCTTTAGCATTTCAAGGTCAGCCCTTACTAATATTTGTCAGCTGCCGTCGTTTAAAGCAAACAAGTATGATTGGCGGTGGCTTATTTGCTTTAGAAAGCCTTATGAACTCTTCACTCAACAACTGCGGGCGTAAGCACTTGCCCGCCCCCCCTCGGCGCTTAGCAACACAGCGGAATTTCGCTACATACACTGCGGCGTAATTTGTTTCATTGCTCTGGGGATTTTGTACGCTCTCAATTATGAATTTCTAATTAGTTTTATTTAAATTAATAACGAAGCTTATACTACTGGCATGTGTTTGTACGTACATATATACATAAAAATGTACTTTGTCGTCAACTTTTGAGTTTGTAGCAGCACGCAATTGCGTTTTAACTGATATTTGAGGATTTCGGTAAATTTACTTGTAACTTTCAAAAATAAACCTTTCTGCTATGATAATTCATTTACTTAAGAAATGAATGAGACGAAATGTATTGGATTGTTTTCCTTTTAAAATTTAATAATTATAATTAAACTAAAAAATAAACATCTTTATTAATAAATTGTTAATATTTTAATTTTTCTTTGCAGATAGTCACTTTGTGAGCGGCGCATTCAGTTTCAGAAACCCTGCGTTGTAAGGAAACCCAGCTTCAGTTATTTTCTTTAAGCATTTGGTAAGCTCAGCGGAAACCAGAAAAAACACATCAAAATGTCGACAGTCGATAAAGAGGAATTGGTTCAAAAGGCAAAATTGGCCGAACAATCTGAAAGGTATGTGCGTGTGTGTGCAATTGTTTAAATATTAAGTTGGAAAATTAAATTTTAACATTTTTGTTATTTTCTCATTTGTTTTCAGATACGATGACATGGCCCAGGCTATGAAATCAGTCACAGAAACAGGCGTTGAACTGTCAAATGAAGAAAGAAATTTACTATCCGTGGCATACAAAAATGTGGTTGGTGCCCGCCGGTATGTTCATTTTTTCTGCTTAACAGTTGCGTATTGATAAGATAATACAGTTAATTGCATATGTATTGTGGGGGGAATATGACTAAATGATGTAGCAAAAGGGGTGACATTGGCAACGCCTAAATTTAGCGGAATATTACCATTTTGGAAATGTAAATCAGTGATATTAGTAGATTGAAAAATTCCACTCTTACGTAGTTGAAATGTATGCTGATGATTTTTTAAGTTTTTGAGTGAGTTTTGTGGTTTTATTTCAAATGTCCAATGTTAGAAAGACCCCAACTGAAGATTTTATAGTCGAAGAAACGCCGTGAAAACGGAAACCTATAAGTACCCTTGGTATATAATAGTTTTATATTTAAGTGCTCCAAATTTTTTAGTTTAAATTATAACATAAATTAAATTATAAATAAAAAATTCTTAAAAATTACAAAAGAAACAACTGCGAGCATAAATCGTTACGAAAGATTTTAACAAATTTGTTTGCATTTTTGTTGTATTCCAGATCATCATGGAGAGTAATTTCATCCATCGAGCAAAAAACCGAATCCTCCGCCAGAAAACAACAGCTCGCCCGCGAGTACAGAGAGCGAGTGGAGAAGGAGCTTAGGGAAATTTGTTACGAAGTTTTGGTAAGTTGACCGGAAAAAATATTCACAAATTTTTTGACTACATGATAAGCTTTAAAATCAGTAGTAAAAATTCTCCGAATGAAAAGATAAACTACTTTGCAGTTAAAAAAAAATTTTAGCCTTTGATAGCAAAGAAATAAAATTAAATGAACGACTATCACTGAGTGGAGTTGTTATAATAATGGCTCAATAGCACGTTGTTGACATTAGCAATAAGTCGATTGAATTAGAGGTGAATGTGAATGCCATGCGGCAATTGAAACAATAATAAATATGACATACTCGCATACTAGCACATATTTTTCTATCAAAGAATGTTGTGTGTGCGAGGAAAGCGTAAAAACGACATAAAATGTACAAATAATATCACACTTGGCTGGTGCCTAACGACTGTCGACTGCCTGTTGGCTCAACGTCACCTAGTTCGGTTTGGTGGCAGCAACTTCCCCTTTTCAATGTAAAAATCAGTTTTCTCTTGCCGAGTTGGCCTTTGAAAAGCCACATTCACCCACCCAGCTGTGAACAGTGGCTCTTTAAAGGCGTCAACAGTATAATTTGTGGCATACATATATGCAAATATGTATGTTTGTATATACATATATATGTAAACCAAGCCCCATTTGCCTTCCACACGTTGCGTCCATTACCGTTTATTGTCAAGAGCAATGTTCTTGGTTGCCGTCGCTGTGGTGTATACTCCCTTTTGCCTAATGCAATAAGTTCCATTAGAATTTGCTTTCGATTTCATTATTTAATGTGGCCATAACGCTTTTGCCTGTTGGCCGGCCATCCTTCATGTTGCGCGAAATTAGTGAGTGGTGATGGTGGTGGACGTGGTTGGGTGTTGTTCGAGGAAAGTATGGTGGTGTTAGTGAGTTTTTGTTGATGTATACGTGTAAGTGCCCGTGTTTAACACCATATTTCCAACGCATCTGCTGCAGCGCTTTTAATAGTCTAAATTGAAATTCAATCGATACCGAGAGCAACAACGTCTATTTTTAAGTGGTTTTGTGCGCATTTAGCTTTTCTGCCAACACGGACTGTCGGGTTTTCTTCTTAATTTTCGTTTGTCTTCCATTTTGCTTTTGTACATGCATTCTTTGCTTGTCGCTTTATTGGGTATTTTGTGCATATATCTTCTAACGGTACTGCTTTGAGGCATAGTTATCTGTCGGACATTTTGATAGTCCATAAAATTTAGTTAACAATTTGTCGGATAAGGCCCTTATGCCATTTCATTTTATTACATACTATGAAATCCATAGTAATTGATTTTATCGCTCTGATGAGTAAAGGTATTTAAAGGCGAAATTCCATCCGTTTAACGTACACAATAATCCGACAATATATTTATAACATGTCATACTTAATAGATAATCAATTTGATGCCTTTGATAGTTAATCAGCTGTGAAATAGGTCGTTGGGTGTGCTGTAGTGAAGAAAATGAAAGTGTAGTATGTCAGAGAGTCTTGCAGCGCTGATAAACAGGTGGAGTTAGCGTTACCGCACCCATCCCCACCCATTAAATGTCCACACTTATGCAATAACCGTAAAAACTTTGATGTGGACTTATATGTGTAGGTATATACATATATATACATATATGTGCATGTGTGGGCAATTGGTGAATGCCTGTGCATGCGTGAAGAGAACCCCTGGACTGCGCTACTCTTCTTCTTTGCCTTATTGTTGATGGCTTACGTTATTCAGCCTACGTTGAACCCACGATGGTGCATGGCGTTGCTCTCTTCCCACTCTTTGCTTTACAATTACCACTCTTTGGTGGTGGGGAGAAGGTAATCGATATGTCCGTAATTAATTGCGCACACATTTTGAACTATAAATATGTGTGTGTTTGGTTTCCTCAAGGATGTTGCACACATTACACCATTTTGCTCATTACTGCTGTATCAAGTGGATATTTTTGTAAACGCCTCCACTTGTCAAATGAAAGTCATTAAAAATTTAACGGCGTTGTTAAATGGTAGGCATAAGAAGAAGAATACGTTGTAAATGTTCCTAGGTAATTGGAAATATCAATTTGCATATAGACCTTTAGGAAAAGAAAAAAATGTATGCGTTCGAAAATGCCTAAAATTTAAGAGTTATATTATATATATTAGATTATTATTCGATTTTCTAGTAATTCAATATCAAAATAAAACGTATTTGAAATTTCTTATTTAATTAATGTTATCCATTACTTTTGCATATTTTTAGGGTCTTCTAGACAAACACCTTATTCCAAAAGCCAGTAATCCAGAAAGCAAGGTCTTCTACCTGAAAATGAAGGGAGATTATTACAGGTATTTAGCTGAGGTGGCCACAGGAGACGCACGCAACAGTAAGTGTTTGAAGCGAGCTTATACCAAATCTTTATTACGGTTATGCGTATGTCTTGTAACACTATGCAAACCATATCACAAAATCGCCTACCAACAACCTTCGAAACCATAACCCTTCACCCTCCTCAAATCCTTTTCCAATGCATTATTCCCAATGTACCCATACTACGCTCATACATACAATTACCATTAATTTTATTTTTTATCCCATTTAACCAAAAATATAAAAAATGATTTACAAAAAAATAATCACTTAACTCCTCCTCTGAAACAGCCGTTGTAGACGACTCCCAAACCGCCTACCAGGATGCATTTGAAATTAGCAAGGGTAAAATGCAGCCAACACATCCAATCCGGTTGGGTCTAGCACTAAACTTTTCAGTCTTCTATTACGAGATTCTGAATTCTCCAGATAAAGCTTGCCAACTGGCCAAACAGGTTAATATGCAAACTGAAAACGAATTAAATGGGAGAATTCAAGCATTTCAAATAAGCAAAAATACTTACTCGCATGATATCGCATTGATATTTCGCGGTTCATATGAGCCAAGGTCAGAAATTCGAAAATAAAGACGTTGAAACACGACACATCATCAATCGGTCAATAGAAAGTTCTTTTTTTTCTTTTGAAAATGCTACAATACAACGATGATTTTTTACAGCATTTCAAGATTATTGCAACTTGAAATTATTAATTTTTTATGTGTAAATATTATTTTTCCTAATTAGATTAACAATGTTTTTTAACATTCCGCTTATGGCAAAGATTTTTTTTTTTTTAATTTTTCAAAAGAATATTTTACGCCACATTGTTTTTAATAAATAAATTTTCCTTTATCTTTTTCTTTTCATTACCACCTTCTCATGTTACTCATCAATTTTCTGCTCTCGAATACTTTTTCCGTTCTCGTGTGTTAACCAAACAACTTCACACCCACAAATGCACGCACAAATCAAAAAAACCGCGTTTCACTCTCCGAAAACAATGTTATACCACAACAAAATTTTGCGTGACTACTTGTAACATGTTGTTATTGTGACTTGGCTCTTTACCAGGCGTGGTTGAGGATTCGAAAAAGGCCTATCAGGAGGCATTCGATATTGCTAAAGGCAAAATGCAGCCAACGCATCCGATACGTTTGGGCCTCGCCCTGAACTTTTCCGTATTCTATTACGAAATAATCAATTCGCCGGCGCGGGCTTGCCATTTGGCCAAACAGGTTGAATTGAAGAATATGTTTTTGTTATTTGGAACGTGAATATAATTAACAAAACTAATTTGTTTTGCAAGCTTTGTGATTTTCGGATTAATTAATTAATAACAAAGCATACCACTTTTGTATGTCTCACCACAAAGGCTTTTTTGATGTTCGCTTAAGTCCGCCAATAAACATGCTCATTGATGCAAATATATATATGTATATGTGCTTATATGCGTCTGATAAGTATAATAATTTTTTTTTTTTTGAAAATGCAAAAAAGATTGATTTGTGTGAATTTTTATTGTCTCGTTTAATGTTTTTCTACTAACTCTTTTTGTTTGAAAATGTATATAAAAGCTTAATATTACCATTTTTTTTTACCAGCTCATACTGAGCTTCAAACTATTTTGTACACATTTTAAAAGACATTCAAACAATATGTATTTTTTACCGTTATTATAGCTTACTTAAAAGAAGATATGCCTTCAGTTTTGCTGCTAAAAAAGATACCATTATAAGAGAGAAAAAAATTTGGTTTAGCTAATAACTGTACAAATTTTTTTTAGTTGCAAACCTTAAGTTTTCTCACCGCAAGGAGCAACGACTAAACTGGTCTTTATTTTCTAATTTAATGTGTAATAATTGATTTCGACTTCGAGTCAATGTTTGTTTTCGCTGATTAGCTATTAAAAATTATTTTTTAAAAAGTGCAAAATGGGTTTGGTTGCTGGTCCTTGTGTCTACAGAATTTTTAAACAAAGTGCATACACGATTGCATACGATTTTAATCTAATATTGTTTTATCGACATTCGAATATATGTATATTTGTGTGAGTCCCATTGTTTATTTTTTCGTTAGTTTGATTACTTTTTGAAAATCCAAAAGAGTTAGGTCCGACCTCTGCGTATAAAAAACCTGCTGAAATATCAAAATTTGCTTGAAATTGAAAATGAGAAATGTGTTTATATGCACGTGCGTTTTTACATGAACAAATATATCAGATACAAATGTATATAAGATCCTAAAAAGGGTGATAGGGAAACCATTACGATTTTGTTTTGATGATTGATGATGTAACGTGTTTTTTCCATTCAACTTTATTTGGGTTTGCTAAACACATTTGGCGAATACCTAATAAATTTAAAACAATTATAAATGCATATTTGTACTAATACAAATACATAATATAAATACATACACATGTGCATAGAATTTTAACTTTAACTATACAAATTTAAACACATAATTTGTTGCTTTGAATTGAAATGCTTGAACTTTTTCGTTTACAATGTAACTTAAGTAATCAAAATATATTTGCTTGCTTCCAAATCTACGTTCTTTTTATATTCTTACTAAAAAATCTTATTTCTTTTCATCATTTGCTCCTGGCGTTTTTTTGCCGCTTTACTCCATAGGCGTTCGATGACGCGATAGCTGAACTGGATACACTCAACGAGGACTCATACAAAGACTCAACGCTGATCATGCAATTGTTGAGAGACAACTTGACCCTCTGGACGTCGGACACGCAAGGGGACGGCGATGAACCACAAGAGGGTGGCGACAACTAACCAAACTAAATTGTTTCCTTTTGACTATGCAAATATTAATTAAAAATAAATATAAAATACAACAACCAACAGCAAGAGAGAAGTACAGAAAAAACAACTACAACTACAGCCACAACAAAATTAATAAAAGCATAAAAACAAAATCTTCAAATAGTGGATCAGAGGCAAAAGCGAAAGCATAAATAAATACAACCTAATTTTTAAACACTAAAGATTCATTTGAAATGAACATGCAGTGAACCCACAACCAACAACCAACAACCAATAGTTACAGTGAGATATGGAAGATGGCAGAACACCGTTTGAATGCAACAATAAGAAGAAGAAACAAAATTATCATCAAGTTAAATAAATAACTATATTTTAATTCAAGTATGAATAAACCAAGAGAAACGCTAAAATTTCGAATGTGATTTCCATACAACAACAGGCAGCAAGACAAGCAGAAACAACGATGCAGATCGTAAAATCACTTAGTCAATAGCGAAGAATTTGTTATATGAATTTCCTATTTCGTTTGTATTCTTGCATATTGCATAGGCATGCCCACTTACATATGTAGTTACATAGATAGAACGTGTATTGTTGTATGTAAGTCAGAGGGGAAATAAGTGCGGCATTAGAAATTGCGTAAGAAATGTGCAATAACTTATGCCAGCTTTCAGACCCTCTCATCTGGTTTCGATTCGTTGAGTTTATTGATTTAAACCCAAAAGCGAGAATATGCTATTCTTTCTATGTTCCCCCATTGCCTAAGGTGTTGTCTTTAGTAACGCGGGCGTTTTTGGGGATATCGCATCACCCGCAGAGAATATTGCTAGCGAATAAAGATTAAGTTTTGGAAAACATTGAAACTTGGAAACCTTCTTTTTGTTGCATGCGCGAAAAAACACAAACAAAAAAGAAAATTAAAAAGTGTTACGCCATTCTACTGCTCACCAACAGCAAAAGTCTAATTGAAGCAATTAGATAGAAAATTGGGAAAAAGATCAAGAAAAACAAAAACAAAAACAACCAGCCGAGAAATCAACCAAAAACAGAAAGAGCTAAATTCCACAACCACTGCAATAATTAAGATCGATATGCATACATATATTTAAATGAAATTATATCATCAATGCTACAAAAGCGTAAATATGTTAGGCAGATCATTATACTATATTATTTATTATTTTTTTTAATAAATAATTTGATTTTGTTTTTTTTTATATTAACCAAAAAAGTCATACTCGTTTCGTTTTCCAAATTTTGTACGTACCTTCAGAGAAAAAGAATTGGTAAATATGCATTTGAACTGTACATATATATAAATATATATAATATATATATATATGTGTCATTTTATCTCGAAAAAAAAAAAACAATACACAATTTACCTGTAAAAGGGGATGATTGTGATTCGGCAAACTCTTATTTTATTGAGATAAACACAAAATTCTGTTTGAGTGCACGTTTGTGTCCAATTTTCGAAACCATTGCTAAACTTTAATGGCTGAAACGAAAGAGGATAACATAAAACAGAAATATATAAACGATTGTAGAGAATTTGTGTGCATGCTTGATGGATTATTCAAAGAGCGCAGAAGCAAGAAGCACGTTTTCTGAACAAATTTCGTGGCATGCCAATTCGTTTTTATCCCGCTCCAAAATTGTTTTGTGAAAAAAAAATAAAAATAATAATATAAACAATGATTTCTATAATTTTTAAATAAAAACGTTATTACGTTATATATCCCATTGTTTTTATTGCTTTCATTATTATTACTGTTATAAATATTCTTTGAACTGTGCGCTGATCATTGCTAAGTAGTTGGAAATGTATGAGACCACAAAACACTTAGAAGAAGGGAAGTACCATTGATAATCAAAGTAACAGTTTATTTTTTACAAAAGACGTCTAGTTGGTTGTATGTGCTCACGAATTTAAGAATGTATTGGTGCGGCGAATAATTGGTGAAACTATATAGTTAAAAACATGTCAAAGATTTATTCCCATTTTGAAATTTAAAAAATTTGCAAACATTGTAAGCAAAGGGTTGAGATGCCTTTTTCTAAAAACAAAAAGGAAAAAAAATCCATTCCCATTTCTAAGATGCTCAGTTTCGTATACTAGTTTCGCTTAATTTCGAACAATTCATTTAATAGGTAATGTGTATAGAAAAAGTAGAAAATCGCTAATTTTGTTCAAAAATTTAGCCAGACGAAATCTGTAAACTAAAATTTTTAGCAAAGCATTTAAAATGGTTTCTAGCTCGATTTCGAGAGCTGATTAAGCTAACGGGGTGTGACATTCCGAATAAATGGTATCAGCGGAGTTTATAGAACATTCAATACTAGACTCTTTACATTGTTCGCTTTCTACAGTTCCGTTCAGTATTCAATTTCCACCTCTGCCACCTAATATGAAGAAGTTGTTTGTATGTGTGTTTGAATGAAATTCATTCTGTCTATTCAAATGTATATCGTGTCTTTTGTGTTTGTTGTTCGTTTTTTTGTTTTTTTGTTTTGGAAATTCTAAATAAATAATTGATGTATTGTGTGTATTGAGATGTCAAACAAAAATTTAATAAAATCTGAAAATTAATACAAATTTTGTGTGTGTACCGAGTACCTTTCGAACTAAAAAAAGAATAAAATAACTTGCTGAAATAGAAAAAAAATCGGCTAAATAAACTATTTACTCATCAATCACTACTTACTATTCTCGTATTCGTATTCGTATTTGTCATCAGCTTTGTCAACTTTAAACGATAAATATGTAGCGCATATTTACATATACATTTACAGGATAATTGATATGTGGAAGATTTATAAACTACATTTACATACCTACATACCTATATATAATATAGTATATCCTTAAATACTTAAAAATGCGATATTTAATTGTGAAAATTCGTAAACTAATAAAAATATGCCGAGATTACAAACAACGGAAAAGAGTATATAAATATAATTTTATGATTTTTTCACGCCAAAAAACCTCATTATCACTTCCTATACGTCCACAGCATTCTTTTGAGCCATGGATTTTCTTAATATGCAGAAAAATGGAGCTTAGTTAGGCATGAGATTTTTAATAGTATTTAAAAAAATATTTCAAGTAAATCAGTGTTGGCAATCGCTGGAAAATTTATGCACTTGTGCTTACAAGGAGCGGTGTTAGATAAATAATAAAAGTGCAAAAGTATAGTCTACATTTAGGCGGACCTTTGTTTTGTCGAATGCGCTTTTAGAAACAATTTTTGAGTGCATAGGGCATTTGTTGCAAATAACTAAATAAGCAACATACATACAAATATCTGTAGATAAGTTAAGTAAAGTGGCTGCTGAAGTGGTTAGCTAATGAAATGCTCAAAAAGTAATTTACCACAAATTTTATTGAATTGTCATGTCATATTCATGTATGTACTCGTCGTATATGTGGAATTTTAAGAATTTTTCACACCATCATCAATGTGTATAAATGTATATGAGTGTATGTTGTAATGATACATTTATATGTATGTATATAGATATTTGTATATGTTGTAAGGAAAAATAAAAATTAAAGTACTTGCAAAGCAAAGCTTGCACCTATCAATTACTCTTCTCTCCTGAAGAAACGAAGCAATCAATTTGAATGTTAAATTTTTACTATAAATGTATAGAATCCATGCACACTTACGCACTTAATTAAAATAAATTTGCAGCTCCAAATGGGAAATATGTATGTATAACAGTTCCAACTGAGAAATAAATGTAAAAGATGTATTTTTTTTTTTTTTTGAAGATCAGTGTATTGTCACTGGCTCTGTTGAATGCTAGTGATACAGCTAGCTAACGGTTTCATGAACTGCTCATGCATATTTTGAATTCTTATCAATGATTGTTCAGTTTTGCTGTATACTTTTGGGCAATCTACAACGAATAGTTGGCTCAGATATGTAGGCTAATTTGTCATCAAGATAATTCCTCTGAGAGAGTTCATCAAATATGCAGTGATTTAGATGGAGCGATTAAATGCATGTGTATGAAAGTGTTTTTGAAACTTGTTTTTGTATGAAAAACACACATTTTGACTATATCACCCTTTATAACCTTTGGTAAGTAACACTTGACACGGATACTCGCAGACACACATAGAAGCGAAACAATTCAATTAATATAATTTAAATTTTACTAATTTTATTTTATAATTAAGACCGTTAGGTTTTCCTGCTATGTTATGGTAGGTGTGTAAAAGTTGATCCTTGTTGTTGTCCGAGTTTTTAATACGTTTTTTTTTTGTTTTTGTTTTTTAGTTTCATTCGAACCGTTCTTACTCCTTCCTTTCGCATATATTTTTCCCAATTTGTTCGCCAAACTTCTCTGAAGCACATACACATACAATTATTTAAAAATAGGAAATCGCTTACTACTACCACGACAACAGCTAATCAGAATCTATGTTTTTATTGTCTCATATTCCCTATTAACCTTCGCTCACAACCCTTCATAAGCAGTCTAAAAGAAAGAAAATATCCTAAAAACGATGTCTAATTCGGAACAGCAATTAAAATGTATAATATTGAACTAATTAATGACTAAACTAAACTAAACTTACTACTAAAAATGAAAAAAGAAGAATCAAAAATATGAATACATACATATATTGCTTCCCAATCGTCAGCGTATGCAGATTATACATACATACTCATAATAATAATGAAAAATAAATTAATTTTTGCATAATACAAATAAAAAAAAAAAAAGAACATACATGTTTACATGCGTAACACAAGAAAAATCCAAATAAGTATGTACTATAAAACTTAAGAGCCCTTTTTTATCCCAAATAGTCACGAAAACGTAAGACAAAAAGGCGGAAAGGAGCTTGCCTCCGTATTGCCGATCATTCATTGCAACGCCATGCGGTGACGCTGTGGCGTGAATGAATGCTTGGAAAATATGCAAGCGAAAATTTACCGCGAGATCAAAAAACTAAAATGCGCTAATTATTAAATTTTTAATTCCAAGCATAAATTCTTTCATACATACATATGTAATACATGCATAAAGTAAATGCAAATAATATATTATTATAATAAATAAATTATTGTCCAGCAGAGATTGATTGAGTACGTGTTGCAAGATAATGCAAATCGTAAATATAAATTTATTGTATACATGAAATTTCAACAACAAGAACCGGAGGGAAAATAAATATTGGAATGAGAATGCAACTATATTCCACATAAATGCACTATGCATACATATGCACAATCATACATATGTATGTATACATAAATGTGAAATGTAGTTGCATAATTTTTTTCAACTTAAGGCAAAAGCAAAACAAAAAAAAACAAAAGAACTATAAACCAGCAGGCGTAAATAAATAATTAACAGACAACCAGGACTAAAAATGAAAATAATAAAAAATAAGTAAAAACAAAAACACATGGAGGCGAAGATTGAAATATTTAAGTTTATTGAAATTACAGTTTCTTAATTATAAAAAAAAAAAACAATAAAAGATAATTTAAAACACAAGGTAAACCGTGCGTTTCAATTCAGGGAAGAGATCACTTTCATTACAAGAGGTGTGATTGTAGTTGTAATCAGTTGCTTATATTAAATCTGACAAATTTGTCTACAAATTTCATGTTGTTGTTGTTGTTGTAACCGCAAAATTATTCCCCAAAGTACTTTTTGGGGAATGTTGCGGGAGTAACAGGCCTTGGCCGGATAAAAATCCCGGTTGTTCCGGTATAAAGACCCGACTGTCGCGGGAACTATTGGATTTTAGTCGCCTCTTACGACAGGCATGCCTTACCGCGGGTAAATTCTTGAGCCCCTAACCCGCAGGGGCCTGCGAATTTCATAAGTAAGACCAATTGACCAATTGACGAACGTATTAAGCCAACAACCTGGCTGGATGTGGGAACTTAAATCACGTTCATTTATCAAAACGTAAAAACTAAACTGGACTAAACTAAAATTTAACTGACGGCAGAGGAGAAACGAGAGCCCAGATGCATAACCACCCCAGAGGAAGTGCTTTTAAAGGCATTTCGGACCAGCTGGTACTGTGATTTAGTGCTTAATGGCAGTCATACAGGTCCAAATGCAAGTTATCACAACCGAGTTAAGGGATTAGTACGTATGCGTATTGCTTCGCAAGTCCAGCATAATGAAATTATACTGCTTGGGTGTGGTTCGAAAGACGAGTGCCTTTAGCGAACAATAGGAATCGTACCAGCTGCAAAAAGGCTGTGCCTTATGTTTTTCATTTTCACAGCTTGTATATATAACCCATTCGGCGGAAATAAAACGCACTTCCGGTCAATTTTTCGACATCCGGTATATCCGGTGTAAGACAATTTAGTTTCAGTGCGTTCTCTCTGTGGTAATGAGACGTTTTTTACATTAAATCCAGTTTAAATTTCTTTTTAACTTTATAATACTAATATTTCACAACTAATATTTTCTTAATTTAAAATCTGAAATCTTTTCTTTAGAACGAAGTTGACCGGCGTTATTGTGGGTAGTGGTAGCCAGCTGAGCTCCAGCTGATTGTCAACAATTCAATAGGGTAAATCAGCAGTGTTTCGTAACGAAAACTAAGAGCGAAAGCTTTTAAGTTTGTTTTTGAATTTAACAAACACACATATTTATGCCGAACGTGATTACGCAGAAGTTAATTTTATTTATTTTTTGCAAAAATTATTTATATTTCTTGTATATTAATACTGGCATCGTCCAATATTTTCAATAAATTGTTCGACTTGTATACGCAACAACGGTCGAGCCAAGTCGCAGTGTTTACCCTATAATCAACTGTCAGTGAATTGGTGCTTCAATCGATAAAGGTCACCTTGAAACGTCAAAGTGTGTCACCTTGGTTGCTACTGAGCGGACATACAAAAAGACGATTTTCTCTTTTCTCCGCTAAAATTTCGCAAATTTTGGATAAATTTTCGTAATTGTTATATCGAGTGACTCAAAGTGTGGAAGTTCCAGTGCGTGCTAAAAGACATAGGCCAACGTACGTGCTTCCAAATCTTAGTACCTCATTGAGTGTTACACAAACGGCTTATAAATCGGCGAATGCAAACGGTATAGAGAGTACTTGCTGATAATAGATGAGAATTGTTTAATCTGGAGTCAATTGGTTGCTAAAGAGAAGAAAATAGACCGTTGAAATTGAAACACAGTTTGAAATAGACAAAGCGTGTAGGTTTGTGTGACGATATAACTAATATAGTTAATTGTGATTAAAGCGGAAAGAGGATTATAAAAATGCCAAACGAACGTTTCATTGAGCGTGGCTCGCATAAGGGCAAGGGACTTGCAGTCTTCACCAGTGGTGGCGACTCACAGGGTATGAATGCTGCAGTGCGTGCTTGCGTGCGTATGGCTATCTACTTGGGATGCAAGGTATGTATTTTACATTATATATATGTATATGTAAGTAATTACCGTGTATATATTCTACATAGTTTATATACATACATATGCACCTTAGATAACCAGAGGCTGGATAGTGGGTGTGTGCAAAAGACATGCTTATCGCTTGATAGCATATCTACTTGTTTGATTGACTTTTGTACATTGCATAGTATTATTTTAGAAAATATTTTATCCATCGTTTTATTTGAAAAAATTTTCATGGCATGAATGCATAACCGTGACATTGTGTATATTTTTAGCAATAGTTTTGTATATATAAAAAAGTTCGAAAATGCAGATAGTATGTCTGTATTTACTCATTATTGTGCCACCGATTACTTTCACACATCGTACTTATGTACGTATCTATGTACATACATATGTATGTATTCACGTAAAAATGCGTGCAATTTGTGTAATTTTCTCTCTCAGATGCAGTGAGATCTCTTTTTTATTAAAGTGAATTATTTGGCCCCATCATCCCAATGTACATACATATGAGTTAATGTAAATAGGTACTATTTGGTGACGAAGATACATCACAATGCCGTCAGATAAAATTTAAAAAAAAATAACTATTGTTTACGTTTAAAAAAAGTAAGTTAGAAACATATTAAAATATGTAAATACCTACATGTATTCGCAAATGTATGCACATACAACATATGTACACAGTCAGCACTTATTTATAATATTTTAATATATTTATATATGTGCATATATTTAAAATTAGTTTAAATTAATTATAGCACACTGTTGTATGCACATACACATATGTATAAACATATGTACATGTAAGCTGATAAACAAAATAATCAGATTAAATAATTTTTTAAGAGCAGAAGTATTTTTTTTTATTATTATTAAATTTCTTGTTTATTGGAATTATACTGAATAAATTCAATTATGTTTGTATATAGCAGCATAAGTCAAAATCTAATATAGCGAAATGGCTAATGTATTGTATTTAAATCGAACCGAAGTAGGAAAATTTTAATTTTTTAATAGCTTTGACTTTGCTGTGCCCTAGAATGCGTTGCCCAAATATTAATCATCGCCAATATGAGCAATTGATGTGACTTTTGGCATTGCACATAACATTAATTGCTTACGACGGCTTCTATTAAATTGATAACTTATTTATTGTATGCATTTTATTTAAATCGGTTTCAACCAGTCTTTATTGATCATAAAAATCACGTATTTTTAACATGAAAAAGTGTTTTTTCTTTTATTAAGTTTGTGTTTGATTAAAAGTATAGCTTAAAGTTATTGTTTTGCTTTCAAACTAACATTTAACTTTTGCATTAATCACATGACTAATTATGTACAAGTTCGCTTGTCTTTGGTGTACATAAATTAGTATACAATAAATTTATGGTTATGAAATGTACTTAAGTGCTTATCAATTAAATTTCAACTTCATAGACTTTTAAAGTCAATTAAGATTATAGTGTGAAATCTTTGATCACTGTAATTATTTGACAGTTCACCATCTATATATTTATTATGCAGCTTCATTTGTATATACATAAATTAACATTTTAATAAATTTAATAAGAAAAATATTTATTTCGTTAAATGATTCTAGGCCTACTTTATTCGTGAAGGCTACCAAGGTATGGTAGACGGTGGTGACAATATTGTCGAAGCTAATTGGGCATCTGTTTCCTCTATTATTCATCGGGGTGGTACTGTGATTGGATCTGCACGTTGTGCGGAGTTTCGTGAGCGCGCTGGCCGTCGAAAAGCGGCATACAATTTGATTCAAAAAGGTTTGTGCATACATACATATATACATTTATAAGTGATAAATATGTAGATTTTCTTTTTTTTGATTTCTTTAACATTACATTTCAAAAGGTATCTCCAACTTGGTGGTAATCGGTGGTGATGGTTCTCTTACTGGTGCAAACTGCTTCCGTAATGAGTGGTCCGGTTTGTTGGATGAGCTGTTGGAGTCTAAGAAGATTACCCCAGAGCAGCGAAAAAAGTTCGACGTCTTACATATTGTAGGCATGGTGAGTATGGCTCAAAAACATATCGACTGTTTAATGTTATAAAATTTGTTTATAATTTAAACTTTTAAAACCTTTATACACACATATGGTACATGTTTAAAATACAATATTATCTATTCAGGTGGGTTCCATTGACAATGACTTTTGTGGCACCGATATGACTATTGGTACTGATTCCGCTTTACATCGCATCATTGAGGCTATTGATGCTATTGTGAGCACCGCCTATTCGCATCAACGTACTTTCATTATGGAAGTGATGGGTCGTCATTGTGGGTGAGTTGCTCAAAATATTTAATTCGGATATACATATATAAATATTTGATTAACATATTCTATATTGCAAAGCCTAACATGCTTTTGTGAAGGTTGATACTGATTGGCGAACGTCCAAAATATTTTTTATTGTTTTTAATTTTTTTATGCGAAAGAAGAATGGAAATTAGGTCAGAAATAATTGTCTAAATTTTTAAAACACCATTAACTTATTAACTTTAAATGACATGCCAATTCCTTTCAAATACAGTTATTTGCCTGTAGTTACCGGTATTATTTCCGAAGCTGATTATGTATTCTGTCCTGAATCGCCGCCACCATTCGACTGGCCCGAACGTCTATGCAATAAGCTAATACAGGCAAGCGAAAATCAAGACTTCTTCATACTCCATGCCATCTAATATTCCAAATTACAATAATTTTTTAACACTATAGTACACATACATACATTCGTACTGTTGTCAGTTTTTGAGTTTGCGTACCTAAATCGAAACGATCAAACTAAATAATTCGCGTCAATTGGTTTAGCATGGCCACAAACAAACATGAAATTTAAATTTTTTGTTATTTACTGCTTATGTATTCAAGCATATAAGAATAGTTTTAAGCAAAAAAAAATAAAAAAAATAAAAAAAATTGTCTAGCTTGCTGATTTTTGTTTGTTGCCTGGAAAAGCTGATCCAATGCGTGCTAAAGTGAGCGCACTCGACTGTAGTGTTAGTGACATACACACAAACACTTATCTACAAACTTATCAATTTAACACAATTGGAATTTAATTGGCTATAAATATTGATAAACGTGAAAACTATATTACGAAAATGTATATGTGGGTGGTCTAAATATTCGGCTTTCGAGAAATTGAATTAATTAGACGGTATTTTCTAAGAAAAACTTGTAATTTAAAATCACTACTGCAGAAAATATTTTCACATGTATATTAAAGAAGTTTTTACAATACACTTGTAACTGTTTAAAATGTATTGGATTTTTGAGGATGCTTAATTGCGTTCACAGAAAATATTTTTAAAAATTGTTTGGACCACCCTAATATAATATATATATATATATATATGTATAAAAACATTCAGATATGCTAGAACTTTTGATGACTTCTCCACTTTGTTTCTGTTTCGGAAATAATGATTTCGTCCAACTGTCTTGTCTAATTAATCAGAATAGAACATGCTCTAAAGTGAAAAAAAAACTGAACCTAACAGCTGTTTACATTATCATTCAGAAAAAAATTTGCATTGTGATTGATATCTATTTAATTACCCATTGTAAATATTTAACGACCTACATATAGTTTATTATAGAAAAATGATTTGTAATATTTCCGAGGTGTCTGAATTGATGGTGATGTCGGTATTGTTATTTTTGTACCTTGTGTTGTTGTTTGAAATGGTTCGTCAAATCTTTCTTTTGCAGCTATTTGGCACTTGTAGCCGGTTTATCCAGTGAGGCTGATTATATATTTATACCCGAAAATCCCCCAAGAGCTGATTGGCCCGATAGATTATGTCAGCAATTGTCGCAGGCAAGGAATAACTCAAAACAATAAAAAGAGAACAATTCAGAACAAAGTTATTTGAATTTGCTAAATCAATAATCATTCATTATAAATATATTACAGTCATTGTAGGCGCTATTGCAATATTAAAATATCAAAAATTTAAATTTTCAACCTGATTTTTTGGATTTATCTTTTTTTAATACGAGAACAATTGCACTTTTTTTCAAAGTTAATTTAATTAAAATGATTTTTAATGAGCTTATTGAAACAATTTCCTACATTTAAATTATTTTTTTATTTAATAGCGTTAAAAAATAAATTCAATTAAAAAGACAGAAAGAATGTTTCACGTTTGGGCAATTCACAAGCTTCTCTTCTAAATCGTGCCATATTTCTATGTTTGATAGTGAAAAATTACGAATACAAAAATGCCACTAGAAAGTGAGAGTGAATTATATAAAAATTATAAAAAAAGTAAACAGATACAGCTTAAAGAATAACAAATTAAAAAAACATACCTCCCTATGTTGTAATAAGAAAATATGACGTTGTGTCATCTTGTGAATACTCCAAATGTCTTTATTAAAATATTTATTAATTTAACAATTTAAATATATGTATATTCAATTGACACATTATAACAATTGAAGCGATTTTTGACTGTCAATTTAATGCAATTAAATAAAATATAATTCAATTGGTAAAAAATCAGTAAATTATATTGAAAATAGTGCAAATGCTTCTGCCGTCTCCTCAGCTCTCATTTACACACATTCATATATAAAGTCTACTTTATTTATTGAGGACGTTCCTCATGCTTAGAAGACATTTAATATTAATTTTTGCACACATTGTGATCATTTGCACCACTTCAATGGTTGCCATATGGCCTTGAGTCGTACCTAACTTATTTTGTGTGTAAACCTTATTACTTCCTGTGTGCCCTAATCGTGCGCTTTTGTACGATGGCAGGTCCAGTTGGTGTTTTTTTTTCTAACTGTTAATATTTGTATGTGTAAATCTAATTTATTAAATTCTGTTAATCTTTTTTATTTGCATTTCCTATAGCACCTCAATTTTCCTGCCTTAGCACCTCCCACAGAATTTATTTATACTTTGAATCATTATCTGCAACTGCAATGCCATTTAATGAAATTTGTAAAAACAGCTGTTATCCTACCTTGTGTCCTGTATTTTTTACTTTTTGTCAGACCCTACACCTTACTCCTCTCCATATTTGACTTATTATTTCTTCCAAAAAAACTATTTAATTTATATATAAACTTTTTATTATTTAATATAAAACTATAAAATAATCAAATGAATATGTATGTATAAGTAAAAATGTTACTAAATGTGAATTGAATTTATTTTTATTTATTCCTGCGCTTGAATGTATGCTTTAATGAGTTTTATATTGTTGAAAACGAAAAACAACAAAAATTGTCTTTTACCACTTTATTATTTGTATTAATTGCATTTGTTCCACGTTCAACTATTCATAATGTGTTTTTATTATTACAATTCTATTTAGTTATTTAGCCATTTCGGCGGCTTTAGCTAGCGAGGCTGATTTCATATTCATACCCGAGGAGCCGGTGCCCGTTAACTGGCCCGAAAAATTGTGCAAAAAAATACTGCAGGTCAGAGTGCAGTTTCAATTTGGAAAGCTTTAATTATATTTCTCCAAGTATTTAATTTGAGTTTATTTATTGATGCATAATTGTTTATAAGCTTTTGTAAAATAATTTAATTTTTGCTTGTTTTTGGGGTTTGGCTGGTGCGCAAAATAAGTTCTACAAAATTATGTTTTAATTATGTGTTTAATTGCCTTTTCTGTAGTTATGTTGTATTTTTGTTTATCGAATTTTTATTATTATTTTTATTGACCTAACATTTAAATATAAATATGTCCTAAATGAACGCTTTGTTTCGTATACAAGAGGTCTTTGTGTTGCAGACTGTACTCGTATATATATACTCGTACCTAATGGTGAGGTGTTTAAAAAATGAGATTTGTTTGTTTTTGTGCGTTATGTATTTTCAGTGATTTTTAAGAGGTATTTTCTAAACATAAAAATTGAACGAAATTCTAAATTATATATTTTACATGGTTAATTATACAAGTGAATGGTATCTACATACAGTCATACATATCTTTGTGCAGTTATAATTTCTTATACGCTCTCGAACTTGTTGCTGCTTTTATTTGTTGTTTACACAATGAGCGCTAAGCTCTGCATTTTGTATATATTTTCATATGCTTCATATTTACTACATACTTATATACAGTTCCGTAAAATTTATACACTAAATATTCGCCTACTTCATTTTATTCTGTTTCCATCTATCAGATCTCAGCATCGTCAGCGCATTTTGCAATTTTAGTTGTATATTTTTTCTCTATAAAATTTTCATTTATTTTTGTCATCAACTCCATTTTTCACAGTTAGAATAATTAACTCAATTTCGAATTAAAACTAATTGTCCTTTTAAAAGTGTTTCTTTCTCAGGCAAACATAACTGCAATATATATGTAGATCTTTGAAGATATAATATGTTTCGAATTATGGATTTGAAAATTACGAAAAACATCTAATATGTTTTTACATACACGTATGCACATTGAAAGAGATTTTTTAAATTTAGAAATTAATAGCTTATAAAACGATGAAAAAGGACAATTAATTTTAAATATAGATTTTGATTTTTTGTTGTCAAGTACGATTTTTGTTCTAAAATACATTTTTTACTGTTGAAATGTCCATTGACTAATTGAAAATATTATTTTTTTAACAAAAATTATTACCATAATTTCAAACATAATACAGGAGCGTAATGCAGGCCAGCGCTTGAATATTATAATCGTCGCCGAGGGTGCCATCGATCGCGAGGGCAATCCCATTACTGCAGAGGATGTGAAAAAGGTTGTTGTCGACAAGTTGCAGCAGGACACTCGCATCACTGTGCTTGGTCATGTGCAACGCGGTGGCAATCCCAGCGCATTCGATCGTGTTTTGGTATGTTTTATTTATACAAAAAATAAATAAAATAAATGTAATTTTTAAATATAACTTCTCTCTTTTTCTATTTCGTAGGGTTGCCGTATGGGCGCAGAGGCTACACTAGCCCTCATGGAAGCCACCCCAGATTCGGTGCCATGTGTTGTCTCCTTGGATGGCAATCAAGCGGTACGTGTGCCGTTGATGGAATGCGTTGAACGTACTAAAGAGGTCGCTCAGGCAATGGCTGACAAGAACTGGGAATTGGCGGTGAAATTGCGTGGACGTTCATTCGAGCGCAACTTAGAAACTTACAAGATGTTGACGCGCCTGAAGCCACCAAAAGAGTCCCTCGACAGCGCAAGGGTGGGTAGTTTGGTACTTTGGTTTAATATAAAATTGTAAACTCATGGCCCTTTGCTCTTTATTTAGCCGGGCTATCGCATGGCAGTTATGCATATTGGCGCACCCGCTTGTGGCATGAATGCGGCTGTACGCAGCTTTGTGCGTAACTGCATTTATCGTGGCGACACTGTCTTTGGCGTGCACGATGGTATTGAAGGTCTTATTGCCGGAAATATTAAGGAAATGGGCTGGTGAGTAGCGGTATAGTCATTATGCACATTCAAGTGTTATTTATTATATTTGCGCTTTTTACATTTTTTTAGGTCTGATGTTACTGGCTGGGTAGGTCAAGGTGGCGCTTTTCTGGGCACCAAGCGTACGCTGCCGGAGGGCAAGTTCAAAGAGATTGCCGCACGCTTGAAGGAGTTCAAAATCCAAGGTTTGCTTGTTATTGGCGGTTTCGAGGCTTACCACGCATGCGGTCAAATCTCCGATCAACGTCCCAATTATCCCGAATTCTGCATCCCCATGGTGGTTGTTCCTTCGACTATTTCGAATAATGTTCCCGGCACCGAGTTTTCGCTCGGTTGCGATACTGGTCTGAATGAGATAACTGAAATTTGCGATCGCATTCGCCAGTCAGCACAAGGCACAAAGCGTCGTGTGTTTGTTATTGAAACTATGGGCGGCTATTGCGGTTATTTAGCCACGTTGGCTGGCTTAGCTGGTGGCGCTGATGCAGCGTACATTTATGAGGAGAAATTCTCAATTAAAGATTTGCAGCAGGACGTCTATCACATGGCCTCCAAAATGGCTGAAGGTGTGCAACGTGGTTTGATTTTGCGCAATGAAAAGGCTTCTGAAAACTACAACACCGATTTCATTCATCGCCTGTACTCTGAGGAGGGCAAGGGACTATTCTCGTGCAGGATGAATATTTTAGGTGAGCACAATGCAATACAAATGGAAAGTGAACCGCAGGTTTTTTCTATAATTTTTTCTTGGGCAGGTCACATGCAACAAGGTGGCTCACCAACACCATTCGATCGTAATATGGGCACCAAGATGGCAGCTAAATGCGTTGAATGGTTGAATACGCAAATCAAAAATAATACCAAACCAGATGGTACTGTGCGTTGTGAAAGCACTGATTCGGCTTGTCTGCTCGGTATTGTACGTCGCCAATACCGTTTCACACCATTGGCCGATTTGATTGCTGAAACCAACTTTGAGTGAGTATGGACGTTTGTGGTGTATTAAGGAAGAAAAAAAATAATACTTACCAAATGATAAGCATGGGGGGACGAACTTTGTTCAAACCACATTTGATGGTTTTAGAAAAAGCCTATGCTCGATAAAGTATGTTCAGAAGTCTGTTGATTTATTTATTGGCACAATATTTATTTTATATGCACCTATGTACATAGGTTATTTATGCTTAAGCATTGGTCGGTCAAACTCATTGTACTGAAAAACGAATATCCTTCTTTTTAGGCAACGCATCCCCAAGACACAGTGGTGGTTGAAATTGCGCCCACTCTTGAGAATTCTAGCTAAACATGACTCTGCCTACGAGGAGGAGGGTATGTACATTACTGTCGAAGAGGAATGTGCTACCGATGCTGTTGCTTAATTATTGGCTACATTCAAAAATCAATCTTGTAGCAAGCGAACAACATAAATGCATATACAAATGTTGCTCATATTAAATTATCGCCAGTTGAATTAAATTTAAATTACCGAATGCGTTAAGGCTTGAGAAACATATTCATGAAGAAAATAAATACAAAACCAATAATAATTGTAAACCCGCTTACATTTTATATCATCACATGGTGCTTCGTTGAAAAGGCTAAGTGCTTCATAATTATTATTTAAATACTTATACTTTTACCATACCATACACACATGCATACATTCTAATGTAATTAAAATACAATTAATAATGCTATAAAATGAAAGAAAAAATTGCACTTGACAGCTGTTAACATAAACTCAGGTTCTAGGACAATTACAATTGTACGCGAATTCCGTTAAGTGTTGAGAATCAGTAAGAAAATAAGAGAAATTGTTCATAAGTACAACATAAAATGAAAATAATATTTTTTATTGCATTGAAATTTATATTATTTTGCTTTAATAGATTTTTTTTTTAAATAAAATTTATTTATTTGTTTTTAATTTATATTTAGTTATAACGCCTTTCGTTTAGCCACGCTCCTTGTGCGAGTATCGGGCACCCAATGTATTATTATGATAATGTTTTTCTTTGATAAGTTTGTTGTAACGTTGCAAATGAACGAAGTATATTTGATATTAAACTGTAGTTCCATTATTGATCAAAATTATTAAATATTGTATAGAAAAATTCAAAGAAATTTTAATATTCATTAATAAATGTATAACAACATTCTTATTTGATCAGATATTAATCATATAGCTTCATTAATTTGGCGCTACGCAAGTAGGGTAAATATTCACTCATAGTCACACACACGCATATATACAATACATCACAATCCTGTTTATAAACATATAACAAAATATAATTAATAGTTGTTTGTTGTTATTGTTGTTGATGTGAACTTCTTGTGCAGACTAACTCTAAAGGATTATATGGTGCAAGTACCCACCGTTACAACCAAATATGCACAACTTATTTACCCATGACCACAACGACTGCATATAGGAACAAAAATATCTAAAAATATCTGAATGTTACCCAGTAATCTCTCTGTTTACTATAAGTTTATATAAATATAAACTTAATAAATTATCGAAATACCTAACACTGTCATTTATATCGAAGAAGAAATTCAATAAAGCGCAACAATGTGCTTTATTCATCAAATATTATATCAATATTTTAATGTAAATGTAAAATAAGAAAAGTGGAGAACATATTGTAACCACCAGCCACAAAACTCACAAATCCATACATACAAGTAAATACATACATGCGAAAGTTCAATATAACTTAAAACAAAATGGAACTATTGATATTATTCTTTAGTATTTTAAACGTTGTAATCTTTCTGCGGATGAGAAAAAAACTACGATAAATACATGTTTGTACCTACATACATACATATATACAATACATAAAAAATTCAAAGCAAATATTATGACTCAAATAAAAGAAGAAAAAAAAACACAAAAGTATGCATTATTTATTTTAAAGGGTTATAAGCAGATAATCATTTGAACAATTGAAGGTAGGGGATCCACAATCAGGGCCAAGTGTTAGAAACGAAATAAAAAGAAATTAAACAAATTAAAATCACATAAATTAATTTTGAAAAATTAAATAAAATAATATAATATATGAAATAAAAAATGTAAAATAAAAGAAAATACAATAACATAAATTAAAATAAATAAAAAAAACAAAAAAAATTTAATAAAATGAAAAGAAATGAAATGAAATAAAATAAACTAAAAAAATTAAATAAAATAAAGTATTGTAAATTAAAATAAAAAAAAATAAAATAAAATAAAACAAAATAAAATAACATAAATTAATACGAAATGAAATAATGTGAAATAAAAGAAAATAAAATAAAATAAAATGAAATAAAATAAAATAAAATAAAATAAAATAAAATAAAATAAAATAAAATAAAATAAAATAAAATAAAATAAAATAAAATAAAATAAAGAAAAGAAATGGAATGGAATAAAATTAAAATAAAATAAAACAAAGAAACTAAAATAATTGTATTAAATAAAATAAATTAATTTAAAATAAAATAAATGAAATAAGATAAAATTAATGCAATAAAGTAAAATAAAATTGAGCTAAATAAAATGAAATAAAACAAAATTAAATTAACGTAAAAGAAAATAAATTTAGAAGTAATATGAATTTAAATAAAGTAAAGTTAAATAAAATAAATAAATTGAATAAAGTAAGAAAATAAAATAAATTAAAACAAAAAAAAAAAATATATTAAATAAAATGAAAAAAATTAAAATAGAATAAAGAAAATAAATAATAAAAATTAAAAAAAAATAAATAAATAAAATAAAATAGCATTAAATTAAAAGAATAATATTAAATATTATTTAGAAAAGGCAAAATATGATAATGGACCGTAAAACAAAGTAAAATAAAATTGAATTATATTGAGTAAAACAAAAAAATAAAAAAATAAAAATAAAATAAGACAAAATAAAATGAAATGGTGTAATTAATTTTGGTAAACAGATATTATACAAGCCAAAAGCTTTCCAGGCTCAGAAAAGAACACATACGCATATACATATGTCTGGCTTAAATGAAGTTAAAAATTCATCATTCGTCAGTCACTTTAAATTTTAACAGTAAAAACATATATATAGTCAGCTTCAAGATATTTACTTCACATGTGTACTTATCTATGTATGTATGAACAAGAAGTTTAGAATTAACTTGTAATGCAATTTTGTTTCGGCAGCTGCCAGACTGTGAGTCATTTTACAAAAAGTCCCTTTCTTCCTCTACATAAAAACTTATTATTTCATTCATATGTACATACTTACATACAATATGATAAAATGCTCATTTAATTTTAAAAATACACATAAGAGTCCAACTTATGATGTTTAAGAATTATACCCTTTTTACATAGTATGGATGTAAATGCAGACTGTGTATATTAAGGAAGTCAAACACGAAGTATTTAATTGGTTTGGAATATTTTCAGTTATATGTCACCGAACAATTGCATTTCAGTGTAAAAGAAATTTAAAAAATAGCGACCAAATTTGTCTTAACCTTTTTTGTTTTCCTGCACAAAGCCGTGCGCTTATGCACGTGAGGGGTATAAGTAACGTCTCAACCGGCATTCGATCTGATGAGCGCATATCTATATACACACACACACATATATATATATATATATTTATATATATATTAACAACTTTTAATGGCGTAGGCAAAGAATATTGTACACTACGCGTCACCGGCGAACGAGTGTGAATGAGTGAGGACAGCACTGTTTGCGAATTTCATATCAAAATAGTTCGAACGCAGTACAATTGTAGCGCTGCACATGAACGGGTTGTGAATAGTGACAGAGCCGGCGTAAACATAAAACGGTTTTTCACCACTCGCTAACCATGGACGCGGGACCGAATGAGTTTAGTACGCTACTCGCGAAGAACCGGCATTCGCGCAGACACGACAGAGATGGCAGCGTCGGTAGTGCAGAGCTTTTGAGTGATATGATATCAGAGGATGCATCCATTTCATCGAGCTCTGACTATGCGTACCTGCGTAGATCTGTTGAATCTGTCGCATCGATTACATCGAGTGAACTGGACGAGTTCAATTGGCGGCGTTTGCGTTTCTACTTAGTCGAGCCGATGGTCTTTATACTACTATTTGCATACAATTTATCAGGTGGATTTCAAAAATGTTCTTTTTTTTTTCCCTCACACAAGTGCTTAGAGTGAAAATGTGAAATTCTGTATGTTTTTTAGATACAATTGTGAAAAATCAGATAATTTATCAAACATGCACTTCCATATTCTTTTTCAATGAGACGGATTGTCGCCAATTGGGCACTAAAAATGCCAGTGAGCATATCAAGGTAAGATGATATGCGCGTGGGTGGTACTGTATTTTTATCCGGCAAGGTCCGAGAAACAGCAAAAATGATCTTGCAGGTTTTTCACCAAAATAAAACGAAGTGGAAATAAATCATTGACTTTTTAAAACCCAAACCATTTTATTTCTATGGAATATTGATATCAATCTTTCGCCTAAATTAGAGATAGTGAAAGAGTAAAGAGTATAACATACATATATATATATAATTGCCGCTTTCTAACTGCTGAAGCGATTTTCGGTCGGGCTCCGGCTTCAATATGCGCTATGCGTCTTGACGTTTTTTTTTAACAAACTAAAGAAAATCCCGTTTATTCTAAGCCACCACCACTCGAAGCTTTTGACATTCCCCTTCGAAGGTGGCCGTAATTTGAAGAAATAGTTTTATATAATTTTGGATGTTGGTCAAAGCCGCACTTGAACTCTGAGCGTCCGTATGGCAGTATGCATTGCGAAGTACTCGACTATTTCGGCCGCAATAAGGACCAACACTAATAACAGAAAGTAAAGTCCTCTTTCGACGAATAATAATAATCAAACTGTACAAGTCCCCCTTCATTCCTGCTATATGGTGCAGAAGAGTGGGCGATGTCGAACATTCGATAAATCGGCGATGGTAGTCTTCGAGAGAGCAGTTTTTCGAACGATTTATGGTCCTTTTCGCATACTCCAGACGTTGGACGATGATGAGCTGTATGATTTATTAGATGACACTGACATAGTTAGGCGTATGAAGAGACAGCGGTTACGCGTCGGAATCGCTGATAGCGCTCCAGCTATTGTTGATTCGGCGCGTATCAGAAGAAGGCGAACATCTCAACAGCTCACGCCGCCGCCGCACGTACACTGCTGAGCTTTCATTTACTTGGCGCTCCCAAAAGTTTGATCGTGACAGCCAACACTGGAACTTCCGGTTACGTTCGTGAATGTTTCTGATACAGCCCTTTGATTTGTTTGATTGTTTTTGGTTTTGAAAAAAGTTAGGAATTCGCTTTATAATGCAAATGAGAAAGCACATTAATATATTAAATTTTATTGTAAACGTTTTGATGATAAGAATTTTTTATTAAAAAAAAATGATTCCACATTGTAAGATTATTACCTTAAACTATTTCGGATTTATTATAGATACCATGTTGTTTAGAGATAATACTGAGGTACATGTGCATGCACATATTTACTAAGAGAACAACCACATGTAATGTTTACTGAGTTTTTTTTTTTGATTTGGAATACTAACTCTATGAACTGATTTACGACACTGATCACAAGTGACCACCGAAGGAACTTTCAATTTGAATTACTGCGCGCTCTCTAAACGAGATTAGATCACGGAAAATGCGACCACCCTGTGACGGATAACAGCCGGTTCAACACCGGTACGTAGACTGGCTGTCGTGCCAGACCTAGGGAGCGTAAGGTTTTTTTGTGCAAGCAATATCTGCAGGGATGGTACGCAATAGACATTTGCTTGAGGGTGAACCGCCCATACAGGTACATCAGGAAGGGTGTGCTAACTATATCGACAAGAACCGCAACCTAAATCGGAGCTATAAATGCGCTGTGGGCAGGCTACTTTAGTGAAAAAATTCAGGCAACACTGCACAGAACACGAAACTGTTTGCTGAAGGTGGCAATTATTTTTACCTCTTACGCTGAACAACTAGAGATTTACTCATTAGCTGCTCTGAACTAAATTGAGATTAAGAAGTCGTGAAGATTAAATTTATTATTTATTAATTTAAAACATTTAGTAAATATTTCTTAATACCAAAAAAGGAAACGAGTCGGGAGAGTCAATGCTTCTAAAGATGTAGGAAAACCCAGCATTTTTGCTTACTGGGAATATTCTCTTTTATGCATACACACATACATACAAATGTACATAAATATGTTTATGGAGGAATTGCAATTTTTTGTTTACATCAATTCGATTTTACAAATACAAAGCTGCAACACTATCAACATACATATGTATGTGATGTAGGTCGGGATTAAGCTTGCTATGAAATCTACGTCAACCTAGTGAAAAAACATTCAAAAGGCAAAAAAGTGAGAGAACAAAAAATAATCTAGGGAAGATAGAGATGAATTATAATGCTCACATGCATTTTCAAAGATTAGAAATAATTAGCATTATGACTAATATATATGTATGTAAAGGGTGTTGTTTTATAGACCATGTGAATCAACTAAATTCCAGCCTGGAGGCACAATATTCGATCACTTTTTATCAGCGATATCGTTTGTCAGCCATAAGCTAAAAATACCATTCCGGAAAAAAAGTATTGCCTTATTGAAAACCGCACCTCTAAACTAACACCCTTTATAATTGGCGCTTAATAATAACTGTTGAAGCGGTTTGCGGCCAAGCTCCTCCTCCAGTAGTGATGAGCGTCTTGATGTTTTTTCCATCAAATGGAGGGATCTACAGTTCATTCTAAGCCGCCTCCGAACGGCTAATGGATAGTCATGGGGAGGAGCTTCATTTCATGTCAGAAACACCCTCGCAGGGCTTGAAATTACCTGCGGAGGGGGGAGTACAAATAGAAAAATTAATTATGTATAGTTTTTAGTAATTTCAGTTCACATTTGAATTTATTTCAATTTAAGCATAATCATTTTTCATAGTCAGACGATATTAATGTGTCTGTGTGGTAGATAAGAGCTGTCATATGGTAAAAAAATCAGTTTTTAGCACTTCATTATATTAAAGATAATTTACTTAATCAGTCCACAAGAGCTTGTCGAATTTAAAATTAGGAATTATTTAATATATCTGCATACAAATACATGTAAGTATATAGAGCTGCGCAGCTTTCTCGTTTCATAACCATACAGCCAAATGGAATAGCTAAATACCATTTTGAAACTAGTGTGCCAACCAAGTGCACTTAGCCAGACAACTGTTTCTTTTCCTTACTAGAAAATCGTATTCTTATAACGAATATGTTCTACTAGATGGCAATGGCTAAGTCAGAATCGTATCAGTTTTATGCTAGTTGAAAATGGAGTAAAATCTTACGAGTCCACTTTTGAGCTAAGATTATGTTTTGTTTGCCTAAAAACGAAGGATTTTGTTCCGCTCACAATGGCTAAGCCAACAGGACAGACACGTGTGGTGCACCATGCAAAACGGGTGACCCCTAAGACAAGGGGTCAATTATAATGTCGATGGAGTTCATCCTCAAGATGGTAGTCAAACAGAACAATGGACTGAGAAGGAATCTTTGGAAGGTAGGAGATGTCAAAGTAATTGGCATATTCTAGTACTCGCTTCTCCTCCTCTTTACCATCATACAGTTCGTTAATTGCGCTGAAGAGGAGAGACTAACACCTTTACTAAAGCAGTAAAGAGTTCATGAACCTGCATACTATTCTGGTTTTTAATTTCCGGTTTCTGCTGCATGGTTTTACGGTCACTTTTCTGGGAGCTTAGTCCTTTTTTGATTTCTGGTATCCTGTTAGCATTTTTGTATCCACCTCATAAATAGATAGAGCCATTTATAAATATATCCATTATTCAGTATTTATGTTACATAGTCTTTTCTTCGGCGCTAACAGTATTTTACATCATAATGTTCAAGTACTCACATAAAGCTTTTTTATAGTACATCGAGACCACAGTTCAACCATATTCAGCGCGGATTTTCATGACGTCCTCAATAATAGAGAGTCTGGTGCCAGCATTTTGTGGGGTTTTTATCGGAGCCTGGTCGGATCATTTTGGCCGTAAGCCACTTTTGATTACAGCGTACAGTGGTGAGTACTCTTAATTGCAGTGTTTATGAATAAAAGTGTGTTATTAATTTGAATTGCGACACTCTTTCCAGGGTACGCACTCTATTATGCAATAGCAACGATAATTGCACAACTTGCGACAACATATCCCGTTAGTCCGTGGTATTATCTGTTGGCGGTATGTCCACTCGCATTGATCGGTGGCAGTGTAACATACTCCGTGGCCACGTTTTGTTACATTTCAGATGTCTCCAGTGCGCAGGAGCGACCATATCGGTGAGTAGTTTGTTAGAGATTTCAGTTTAATTTCTTTGCAGCCATTAAATACTGTTATTGCAGCATGGCAACGTATGAAGTCGCTGTAATCTTCGGACTCATGATGGGCTCCTTTACATCGGGTTACCTTTACGAAGCCACAAATGCTTCCTTCGTTTTTCTAACATCATGCTGTTGCATTTTTGTTGCCACTTGCATTATACTCTGTTTCATACCAGAAAGTTTGAATAGACGACGCTTTCAATTCATACAATCTGTCAATGAAGTGGATGAGGATCAGGACTTGATTGAGTCCACTGCGGATGCAGGGGAGCTGGTGAGATTATTCGATCTAGCGGCTGTGAGGGAAATGTGGCAAACTTGCTTCAAGCCTCGGGAGTACAACGATCGCGCTATTGTCTGTTTGGCGATGGTCGCGTACTCAATTTCCGTGTTTGTGATAGGTGAAAAATTACAAATTTTATTTTTCGACATTTCTTAATTTCTTCCACTTTAGATGGCTCAATGACGGTTTTTTACTTATTCATACGCGAGATATTTCATTGGTCCATTAAGGATTTTACAACCTTTGAAACGATCAGTATGCTCGTATCTACCGTGGGCAATATATTGGGTGTCATTATATTGAAAAGAGTGTGCCTGAAAACAATTTATTATATTCAATTATAATTTCAAATCTTACCGTTTTCAGATTCTCAAATTATCTATTGTGCATGTGGGCATTTTAGCCTTCATCAGTGAGTCTATGGGCAGTTGCGCGAGAGCTTTTGCTGATACAAATTGGATAATGTATTTGTCGGTCGGCTTGGGCGCTCTGAAAGCAATGGCCCATCCAATGTGTCGAACGATCGCATCGAATGTGTTGCCAACGAATGAATTGGGTGAATGGCGTCAATTATTTATATATATATATATATATTTTAAGTTATTCTATAATTTTATTTCATTTTTCATTTTGTTTTATTTTTATTTTTTTAATTTTATTTTTTATTTTTTATATTTTAGACTTAATTTAATTTTATATTTTTTTTTAAATTTAGTTTGCTTTATTATTTAATTAATTTAATTTAGTTTGAATTTTTTGTTTTTGTTTTGTATATTTTGTTTAATTTAATTTAATTTTTTTATTTTTTTTTAGTTTTATTTTATTTTATTTATTGTTTTTTTTTTATTTTATGCCAGTTTTGTGCAATTAATTATAACTTGCATGTTGATGAAATGGTATGTAGTATTAACTTGGTTCGAAGTACGTAAGTTTTATGAACTCATTATATTTTTTAATTATTTTATTTTTTTCTTACTTTATGCTTTAAGTTTTTATTTCAATTTTCTTTCCATGCTAACTTTCTTTGCTCTATTTCTTTTAACTTAATTACTTTTATATAATTGTTTTATTTTGTTATTTTTTTATTTATTTCGGTTTGTCTATTTTTATATAATTTTCCTATATAGTTTTTTTGGTTTTCCTTTGTTTTATTTTATTCTTTATTTTACTCTGTTTTGTATTTGGATTTGATTTTAATTTTTTTCGATTATTGAATTAAAATAAATCTTATTTTGTTTTACAAATCATATTTTTTTATTTGCTTTTTTAACCTTAATTACTTTCATTTGGTAAAGGGCCGAAAAAATAATGGAATCATTTTTATTTAAATATTTATTATATACTATTCTATGGTCTGTTTCTTTGCAGGGAAATTTTTTTCATTTTACGGTTGCTTACAAGCTTTTCTGCCATTTATTGCCTCACCAATATACACTGGCATTTACAGCATAACGCTTACAAGCTTTCCAGGATTTTATAATTTGTTAAATGCTAATTTATTTATAGTTGCTATTGCTTTTCTGCTGTAAGTAAATTCCCATACACATATTATATAATACGAGTGCATATACTAAGTACATACCTCATTGATGAAATTTCGTATGAATACTTTTATTTTTTTTCTTTTTATTAAATTAATGTTTACATTAAACTCTATTGAAAATAAATTGGAACTTTTTCCCTTCTGTCTTAAAATTTTGTAATTTTCTGTTCGTTTGCTTGTATTCATGTTGCGTTTCATCAACATATATATGTACATACATATATGCTTGTATTATTATGTATATATTATATATTATTTTTTTATGCCATATCCAGCTTAATTTTACGAAAGAAACGCGAATTCTCCGCGCGTTACGAGGAGCGATTTTGAAATGGAGTCTTCCAGCTTCTGTGACTGTTCATGAAGTAGTGTCACGAATATTTCTCTACTTGAATATTTTTTAATTGTTGTCATATATTTTATATTAATAAATACATGTTTGTAAATCTTTTAATGTTAACAATATTTGTATTACTTGTTATTTGCGCCTTGTAAAACTGAACAGTCCTTCGGGTGATGAGAAGTTGTGATCTTTGAGTTGGCATTTATTTTTTTAAAAAATGCTTATTTAAATAAAAAATTTCATAATTCCAAATAAATTGTGTTTACAAAAACTGAAGTCAATGGTGTCTTGTTTTATCTTCGTTTGCATACAAACCGGAAATGAGCACCATTACATATTCGATACTCTGTCGGTGACAGATCGTGATAGTCGCCGCTTGGTAGCGAATCTTGATTTTATGTTTTTTATTCTTCGATTGTTTATGTCTTTGCGGTTAGAAGTTTATACATGAAATCTCGCAACTATTTATATATTTAATTTTTTAATTAAGACAGATCCGTTGGCAAGCTTTATAGAATAGATGGTTACAACAACAGTGAATTCATATGATTAATGGCGTTGGTGCAATTTCGTCTGTTGGGAAAGATTTTAAAATAAATTTGCATAATTTTATACACAAAACAACGTCATATTTTGAATATGAAATTCTTAGGCCTTGAATTCCTAATTTCTAAAATCAATAAAAATTTCAATTAAAACGTTCTGAATAGTTTTTTGCTCGACAATGATTTTTATTTTTTAAAAATTTTCAAATATCGCTCCCGAAATAATAGCGAGAAAAATTATGAAATTATGTATAGAAAGTACAAAAAAAATTTTTTCTAATCGTAATTCATTTATCGCCGAAACCACATAAACAGAAATAAATAGAAAGTAGATAATTCTAAAAAAAAATTAAAACATTTCTCGGTTTTGTGAAGTATTTCATTCTGCTCCTTTCAACCTTGGGCCACATGGTGTTTGTATGTGTTTATTTTACGAACGTACCACGGTGTGCCCGAAATTATCCTCAGAATTTAAGATGGGACCCTCTGAATTTTCTCAAAATACTTGCAGAGTTCATACCCCACTCAACTTTAAATAATTATACATTTTTTTATATTAAATATATAATAAATTTTTTAATAATATTAGCTACTTTAATGATAAGCATTACATTTATGTAAATTTTAATTAAGCAATTGAGAAATTAATCCCATTTAATCTTCCTTGCATATGAAATTACTCAGCATTTAAAATATTCATTCATTTAATTTGATTTAATTATTTTATGTATGTTTACATTTGCATATCTCTTACAACAAAACCGCTACTTATCTATGAATTTCTCATTCGCGAACTAAAACGTGTGATTTATTGGAGAAACCTGTTTTTTAATGAGCTGAGATTAGAATGTGTAGCTTCAATCGAAATTAGTATAAGTAATATTGGGTTGCCCCAAAGGAAACCGGCGATTTTTTAAAAGAAAGTAAACACATTTTTCTCAATTCTATAATGAACTTTAATCAAATTTGCAATTTCCATTTTGTTGAAAAACGACCGACTTTTCGCCATATTTCTGGCATTTCAAATCGCGTAAAACTCGAAATCTGCACTTTACGACACGAAATTTGATAATGACGCTTTGTAAACATTAAACCTGTCTTGAAGTAAGCGGTTCTCTTCATAAATGTTGGCTAATGTTAGCTAGATTGCTTGTTGCGCTTCGGATCCACCATCTCAGAAATTATCCTTAATGAAAAGAAAATAGCAGCATCGAATGAGATACCCCGCCTTTATCGTAAATAAATCTTTGATTTGAGTGTGTGTGTGTACCTGAACTTTACGCTTCCTAAATTGGGATGGTACTGCTGTCTAGCTGGTTGATGCCCTCATAATACTATAGACTGCCAACACACCTGTTCGAAAACTGCGATGGAGAGGACAAGGGCGATGGCGAGCAGGTCAGTGCGACATTTATTACAGCAGCCCAAGGAAGAAAGCAGCACAAAATTGACGTCGAATTCGTGATGAGAGAAACGCTAAGACACCGAGTTCTGGCATTCTGGGTGAACGTCTCACCACAATCCAAATCAACGTGACATTTTTAAACATAACGCTGATTCGCGCCCACGCCGAGAGCAAGGAGAAGAACGATGTGACCAAATATGGCTTTTAAGAGCAACTGCAGCGTACGTATGAGCTGCTCCCTCTACGATGTCAAAATTCTGCTTGGCGACAATAACGCAAAGGTGGGCAAAGATAGTATCTTGGGCACAATTGTTGAAAGATTCCGCTGCTTAGAAAAAATTTCAAGACCGGAGCGCTCTCTACAGCCAGCTGAAAGGCAGTGAACATGAAACACCAAAACATGGTGAACGTCTTTTCTCAATAGATGACTATGGCAGAGTGACCGTTCATTCTATGGCTTCTTAAACTCAATGTTGGAGAAAAGAGCTGCCGAACCAAAAAGCGATGGTAAAATACTTTAAAAGAGCGTACAAACTACTTTCTCCAGACTAGATAAGGAAACGAGACGAATGGATCTGGTGATGAAATATGACCAGGTGTTGGCTATGTATATCGCCCGAAAGCAGAAGAAGAGGAATGTGTGTTCTTCATTGGAAGGATCAGGCAGAGAGGGTATTGGCTTGAATTCCTTACTCCAATCAGTCGTAGAAAACATAGCTTTGAAATGTTAACAAAGTTTCTTTTTCCGGTTTTGAAGTAAATGTTTTTTTTTAACTCTTTGTTATTTAAAGCATCTGATTGTATTTTAACTTTGCAATTGCTCAGCGTAATGTGCAAGATTTGAAAGCACGAGCTAAAAATTTGCAAGTCATCGTTAGCTGTTAACAAATTTCGGCTAGCCATCGGTGAATCCCGTAGCTCTCTCTTTTTTATCACATCTCATTAGGGGCCTGTTTTATAGATAAATAAATGTATTAATTAGACTTCGTTGGGTACCGCAAGAGAAATCCCATTAACAAGTTCATGCATGTATGTGTGACTTAACATTGAACCTGCAACGAGTTCGCGTCCAATCGCGTCCAATGTACGAAACATGTCGCGAATTTATAATAAGTCTCACGTAATACACAAATATTGTACCCACAAACACATGCGATTATGGATATCGGGAAGCCTTTGGGCTTGCAATCTAATGTACGAATATATATAATTGTTTATTTGCGCATGTGTGGGTGCGAGCAATTCAATTGTTCGCTAATTGCACTGGTTAACAAAATTGCTACTTTTCTCACAAAAAAATTTATATTAAATTTTGGTTGTATTAGAGCCATCAAATACAAGTATGTGTATCAATTAAAAGATATGTACATACACATCACATATAACTTACAGTAAATACTTTCGAGAATATTTGGCTTTCGGTGGGTCCTTTCGACGTCTCTAACAATAATCTGGTAGCATACCTGCGACAAGCAATTAGAAAATTTAACTTAATTTTTTATTTAAATTAAATTTCCATAATTTTTTGGATTTGGATGGCACCGGGACTTGAAGCCCAGCGTTTCGAATATCAGTACGTAATGCCAACCACTCGGGCTACCGCAACCGCCACACTGCACTCTATATCCTTCGATAATTCTTTGCCTTTAAGGACTTAGTCTGATGAAACTTCTCACCTTGTTTATATACAATATATATGTATATAAGTTCATTTTATTTTCTCACTTATAGTTTCCAAGAGTTATCTGGAGAACATTTACAAAACATTCCGGTTTTTTAATATGGATCTTAAAACTCACCTCATTTTTATACAGATTCAAATCGCGTTTTATTCCAATGAGTGTGGTGTTTTTGAAGTTTACAGTTCATTGCTTGAGTCCCGATCTTGAAATATAGTGTTGTCATCGATCTTTCTGCAAAAAGTGACCGAAAATTGGGTCTGCTACTTGCTCAAAACCACTTTTAAACTGTAATGGCAAACCCTTATCTTTTTAATAAAATTATATTCTGAGTGAGTGTCACAAATACACGTAAACTGGATGCGATTGAAATACATTTTTCATGAGGGTCCATTGAACAAAAACCATCAAAAAGTTCGTGAGGCAAAAACAGTGTTGCCCAGTGTGTTGTTTTCGTACAAACAATTCCAAATATTTATATTTTTCACACATTTCACATTTTTGTTTTCCATTTATTGGGCTTTGATTTGGAAATGATATGCAAAAAAAGAGCAATTATTAGTTATTACCTGCCATCATCTGTAGGTGAATGAATCCGGAACCAAATGAATTTTTTAGTTGATCAGAGTTTTTGATTTGTGATTATTCACAATTTTATTTAAATGATTTTTAACAACTATTTAAAAAATGTTTTGGTATTTGCAAACAAACCACTTGGGACATCTAGTAGAACAATAATAAAGAGGAAAATGAAAAAATCGAAGTAGAATTTAATAACTCAATGTTGTTAGTAATCTGTTTTCGGTTCTGTAATAAATTTGATAATAGCAGTTGGTCCTATCCCCACTTTTCCCGTCCGTCTGCATTATGGTTAAAGGCTTCTAAACTGTCCCTGTCTGTCACTTTACCAGGAAGCTATAAATTCAATAAAATACCCGAGCTTAATATATTTGTGTTGCCTTCAACAAGAAGCTCAACCCTATTTTGAAAAGGGTTTCTTAAACCCATTTGTATTTGAAACTCCGCGGACACAAAGCGGCCGAAAATTAATTGGTTATTAGGCTTCAAATAGAAAGAACTGTGTACTTGGCAGCCTTTTTAATATAAACGTTATGTGGAGAGGAATTGAACAAGTCAGGCTGGATCATTATTTCGTCTACAGCGTTCGCGGTCGATATTACGCATAGGTTCATAAATCGTTCGTATAACCTTTCTCTAGAAAATGTTTTAGACTGTCTCATTGGATGTGGTTTTGATTCGCAAGAGAGGACTTTACTTTTTCAATTGTTTGCTCGGTCCAAAGTAACACTACAAAGAGTTCAATGTTTACTGTTTGACTCCTACGTAGAAGTAGCAAGGTTACACTGCCTGGCTAGTAGTCTTCGCGTAAGACGTAAACGCTTTTTCCGACGTTTAAGAGAGCCTTGACAACCCTAATTTGAAACTAGAAGCTCATAGATGTTTAACACGAGTTCTGAAGAGCGACAGGCGGTCATTAAACACTTCTACAGCGAAACTCTTCGTTGTCAGAGACGAGCTCTAGATAGGGCCGGACAGAAAAGGATGGAACGCTTCATCATCTATCTATATGTTGTTACAGCTATCATTGGTCATACTGCTCGCCTATGGTACCAGTAATTTGTGGCCTATTACTGGACTTGTGACTTGAGACTTGTTCGTTGCCACTGCATGTGATTTGGCTGCCTTGCGAGCCGTTACACTGATCTGTTTTCCAGCTCTCCCTAAAAGTTCAGTGTATAGCCTCTTCAGCGGCTTTCGTATTTCGTATGTACGTCGCCAAGCGGAAGTGACTTTAGGCAATCTTAACAACTATTTCGTTTCCCAGAATTCCCTTGTAACCTGACTCCCTGTAATGGCGGTACATATTTCGATTTGTGTTCCTGTTCCATCGATTGAGAGGACTTCGGCTAGCATTCGAAAAGTAAAATCCTTATCACAGAAAAAAATATAAATGTACAGTTAAATTTGGGGTAATTTGAAAAACTACATCGGCATTGATTGGCGCTTTCGTCGATGAGATGAGCAGTTGGCAAAGAAGAAAATCATGTGAAAATAAAAACAAAAACATGAATAAAAGATGAGATAAAAAGCGAATATTAATCTGCCATTTGTTCGGTTGTTTGATTGCTTGCGCGATTCTATTTATGTATCTCTGACCGTTAAAAAGCAAAAAAAAGGAGGAAAAAAGCATATATCTATAGGCTTATCCATTTTGCGGTTTTGAAAATAATGAATTTAGAACATCCAGTTTTTGAGAACGTTGAAAAATAGACACGTTCGGTTCATCGGCTCCATTTTCATTTTCACTAGCCAGATTTTGGGTGGAACAAGCAAACAATGATGGAAAGGTCTTACAATATCTGCAACTGATTTAGTCTCTTCAAATTTTTTTAAGATATTTCCAACTGCTCGAGCACCATAAGGATGCCGCGGTAGCCGAGTGGTTAGTATTGCGTACTGCCATTCGAAAGGCCGGGGCTCCAAAAGTTATAGAAAATTAATTTAAATAAAAAAAATTAAGTTCAAATTTTTCTAATTGCGCTTGCCCCTTGGCAGGGAATGCCAAACCCGCCGAGTGTATTTCTGACATGAAATAAATACCCCTCGTAAAAAAACCCATAAGCCGTTCGGAGGCGGCTTAGTATAAACTGTAGGTCCCTCCATGTCAAAATACAGCCCTGCACTTATGAAGCCACAAAATGGATGACCCTATATATACATAGTTAATTATATTAATAGGTGTACTGAAGCGATTACCGATTTGTTTATATAAATATGCAAACATACTGACACACTCACTTATGAATACACATATGTAGACATGCATAGTATATACATATATAGTTATGTAGCTATTTGTTTTCATTTGTTAGTAAACCAACTATTTATGTACATATGTCTTACCTGTGCTGCTTTTGTTGCTTTTCTAGCGACTTTAGATGCGACGTTTTTTTCGTGATAACTGCCACAATGAAGTTAGTTTCAAATTAATTCCGGCTAGGAACGGATGCGTGTGCGCGGCTCCCAACCAACTACAACGGCGGCTAATAGCTAAGATGATCACTAAGCCAGCAGTGCGGTGATCTGTAGAAAGAAAATATTGTGCAAAGAATATCTCTACAAATAGCTTATAGAATTGGCGAAGCGTAAACGAAAAAAAGGCGGATCTACTATCTGTACTGTTATTAGTTTTGAAAATACAACTGATTTATAAAACAAAAAGTTAATCTTGTTTTGGACACATTTCAAAGTGTATATATAAATTAAAATATAATTTCTTTAAATTGTACATACATATACATACATATGAATGTATGTGAGATATTGTACATGTGAACACAGTTATATGGTTGTAATTAATGCGGTGTTGGAAAATAGTTTTGTGATTTTAATTATATTTATATAATTTGAATTTTTCTAACTTTTAAATTACTCAAAACAGTTGTTTTAATTCAGTGCTTTTGGCGAAGTTGTCAACCACACATTCGCCGATGTAATTACTTGTCGAAAGGTGAACGCATCAGTATTGCATGTGCGGCCATAGGAAACAGTAAAGATTTCGGAGTTTCGAGTATTTTATTTTTAAAATGTTTTGAGTGCGAAAGTAAAGACCAAATCGATATACAGACGTTTAAAACGAAGAAGTTGTAAAACCAAGACTTTTAAGTTATTAAATTTAATACATAAAAAATAATAAAATAAAGAAATAAAATTAAAATTTTTAAAGGAAAAACACAAAATGGTTGAAAAAGTCGCCAATACACTGTTAGCTCGTGTTAAGCAACTGCAATGGGGCAATATATTCCATATGTACTATATCGAACCTATCGTGTTCATGCTGGTGTTTGCACACAGTTTATCCGGTAATTAAGAGTAATAACGATCATATTAAAATTATATTTATCAACTAACATTAAATTACTTGCTATAAATGTTTTTTAAAGTAAATTAAATGATATTTTATTTTTATCTTTTTTTTATGTATTTTTTTATGTTTGCGTATTTGAAATCTCTCCTAAAGGGTGTTCCTTTTAAACATGTAGTTTTCAAGTACAAATAAAATGCTTATAATTCAATGCTATAACCAGCAGTCTAACTTTGTTATGAAGATAAGGGTTTGTCATTATGTTTTGAAAAGGATTTTGGACAAGCAACTGCTCGAAGTGGCTGGCTAGAAGAAATTCCTGCAGAGAGCCCCAATTTTCGATCACTTTCTGCAACGTGCCTAATATTCTCTTTGAAGGCGTCAATCGATCGCTCGACTTCACATAACCCAACATAAAATATGCAAGTGGTGTTAAGCCTTACGATCTTGGCGGCCACGTCACAGGTCAACCACGCGAGATAATGCGCTCACCAAAAGTTGTCTTCAATAAATAGATTATTTCAATGGCTGTATAGAATTTAGCGCTGGTTTGGTTGGAACCAACGGTCGTCAACTTCAACGTCAACTTCAACTTCAATTCAGGCACGAGAAGGTCATCGATAATGGTTGCATAGGGTTATCCGTTGACTGGAGCATTATAGCCAGAAAAATTTTTTCAGAAATATAAACTAATGATTCCCTCTGACCAAAGAGAAAATCAAATAGTAACTTTTGGAAGATGTAACGGCAGCTCAACATTAGCTTGGGGACTATCTACACTCCAAGTGCGATAATTTTGTCTATTAACATCCCCATGCATTCATTCAATCAATAATGAGCTTCATCGTTGAACAAAATTTTCTTATGAAAATCGGGAGCGGTGGCTCACACTGCTTCACTGCTAGCACGGTTTTATTTAGTAGAAGCCTCAAGTCCTGATCCTTCAGTAAAATTTTCTATAAAGTTGATAGACACAGCTTCTGTTGATGCGCGCAATGGTGGATGGACTCTTTCGGCTGTTTTTTTTTTGATACTCCGCTCAGCAGCAGGTAAGGCGCCTTTGAAATACAATAAAATAAAAGTGATGGGAAACCAATCTATTGTTATTCGATTAAGGACTCTGCTGGGCAATTATGTCTCGCGCGAAAAGAGCCATAATTTTTTAAATAAATTTACACGATTAGCAAACGTTGTTTTCGAGTAAGTCTGTTTGTCATGAAATGGCAAACCCAATTCAGCATAAATCAGGTAACAGATGTCAAAAAGACCAACCCCGAAAAAAAGGATTGTTTATATATAAAAAAATATCTAAAGAATTAAATAACTGCATTACTTCCAGCGCTTGATAAAGAATTTCATTCAAAAAAATTAATAAATAAGTAAATTTGATTTAATTTAGTCAAATACTTAAATAAGTGTTATTTATAGAAATTAATTAATTATTTAATAATTTGTATTTATTTTTGTTTTCTCTTACCTGCAGGTACTATTTTGCGAAATCAAATCATATTTCAGGCGTGTACAAATATATTCAATTACAATGAGAGCATTTGCCAAGAATTGGGAACAAAAAACGCCAGCGAACAGGCCACGGTAAATACTAAATTTCATATACTTGAATAAAATATAAATAGCGCGTAAGAAGTTTGAGGAAACGTACATTTAAAAATTAAAAAAAAAAATTATAAAATCGTTTAGAGTTCATTTTCAATTAAAGTCACATTTATATTTTATATATTTCATACTTATTTTTTCAAATTTAAACCGTTTCGTGTAACTATGGTTCATACATATTATATATTCGAATACTAAATTATTTTCCCACAAAAAAAAATGCGAAAATTTTCTCCTCACAGAATAATTTTTATTACCAATTTCATGTTTTTTGATTAAACTTTTTCTTTTTGTTGTTGCCTGAATTTCAATAGAAAATTGAAACCGAAGTGCAGCCATACGTTGCGAATCTGTTTATGATTCGCACACTCTTGGAGAGTATTGTGCCGGCGTTGTGTGGCGTTTTCATAGGCTCATGGTCCGATCATTACGGCCGCAAGCCCTTGTTGGTTATCTCAATGATAGGTAATGATCATATGTCCTTCCTTCCTTCCTTGTATGCAGATATACTCGTATGTATATTTTATTAATATTCTTCCTTGTTTATGATATTTCAACAGGTTTCTCCTTCACCTACATCATCGCGGCGGTGATTTGTCAAATAGCCATCTATCAGCCGGTGAATCCTTGGTACTACGTTTTAGCTGTCGTGCCACATTCCATTTTAGGTGGCAACTGCGTGTTTTCTGTGGCGGCTTTTTGTTTCATATCCGATGTTACTGACACCAAAACGAGACCTTACAGGTGTGTATAGTGAATATAAGTATAAGCAATAAAATTGAATTGAATTGCATTAAATTAACGGTGGATTTATGCAGCCAAGTAGACTTACTAATGAGAATGAAATGCCTGCATTTAAACGTAATAGGATCACCATATGTCTTAAATCTTTGCATTCACATATTTTTCAGAATGATTTTCATGGAAGCATTTTTCTTCATTGGCCTTATGGGCGGTTCCTTGCTCTCGAGTTTCGTTTACGCCGCCACAGGTGCCACAACGACTTTTATGATTTCCGGTTTGCTGATGTGTGGCGCCACGGTTTTCATCGTAGTTTGTGTACCGGAGAGCCTTCACTTTAGTAAGCAAGCAGATAACGTCGACAATGCCAAATGCAAAAGTTTCAATGGCTGCTGTGAGAAAGTTGAGAAAACGAATGTTGGTGGAAAACAAATTGAAAATATAGCCATAGATAAACTGGAAACCAAAAAGATACCAAAAGGAAATGAATTTATAATAAATGCCGAGGGCAAAGTTGTTGAAATGTCGGCAACGGATGAACAAAGAAATGTCGCAAAAAAAGAAACGGAAACGAAAGAAAAGGACTTAAGTGCATGCGAAAAAGCAAGGGAGGCAAATGGCGAAACTCCAACGAATTGCAAAGCGAAAAGGGATGAGAAAACTAAAAAGCCGGGACTTTTCAGTTACGTGCACATCAAGGACATGTTGGTTACTTGTTTCAAATCTCGGCCGTATTATGATCGCAGTATTATTTGGCTAGTAACTGGCACGATGTTCCTATCGATATTTGTATTAGGTTAGTTGTGGAATTTTAAAGGCTACAAAGCACATTTGAGCTCTTACACTATTACATACGGTATTTTATTATTTATTTGCACAAAAATGAAATCACAAAAGAATGCACAGCTGTTTTGGAAGAAAATAACTTAAATTTCTACTTCGTTTCATGTTCGTAAATACTTACAGATGGTGCGATGACGGTGTTCTATTTGTTTGTGCGTGAAAAATTCCATTGGACCGTGCGAGATTTCACGTTTTATGAAACCGTTAGTCATATGGTGCCAATGTTTGGCGCTTTAGTCGGCTTTTTGGTACTGCGAAAGGTAAAGGAAATCACTCATTTCTTTCTTGTATGAAAAATATTTTCTCAAAATCTATGCCGATATTTATCTTTGAATGATTTTAACTCAAAAATGATATCCGGTACTGAGATTACCGAAATTAAAAAATTTCGTTGCCTACTTTGAGATTTGTGAATGCAAAATTGTTCCTATTATATGACGACATAAATATACATAAGTACTAAAGAGATAAAATTTTATACTTAGAACATTTTTGTTTCTATTGTTTTTACTTAAAATTTTCATTACCACATTTTTTAGGTTTTCAGCATGTCCGTGGTCACTTTGGCATTACTTTCGTTCTTTAGTGATGTTATAAGCAGCATTGTTAGAGGCGTGGCCTCAGAAGCTTGGCACTTGTATTTAGCTATTGCTTTGGGCGCGTTTAAGTCGGTTGGAGGACCAATGTGTCGCACCATTGTTTCTAATATAGTGCCACCAACGGATTTGGGTAAAAATAAACAGTGCATAGAGAATGACAATTTATATCATTTATGTACATATGTAAATGTATATGTATATATGTATGTATGTATTTTTCAGGTAAAATATTTTCCATAAAAAATGTGCTACAATCGATTGCACCTTTCTTGGCCGCGCCTCTCTACACCGTCATCTATAAGGAGTCGCTGCAGACATTTCCCGGTTTGTTTAATATTGTGAGCGCTGCATTATACGCAATTGCCTTCATCTTTCTAATGTGAGTTGTCCCAAAATCCATTTATTCAATTCGAGAACTACATCAACTATTTTCTGTTTAAACATTATTTTTTTATTTTTAGCATTGTGTTGCGGTTCAAATATTCTCACAAAGAACATTATGCGATGATTTTAAAGTGATATAACCTATAAATGCTACCTCTACCGATCTTCCATGCGAATTAAATAATGTGATATTTGTTTATAGCACTAAGTAAATTGATTAATCTAAATAAAAATAATTATTTTTAATTATTTCGGAAAATTATTTTTATTAGGGAAATTTTGTTACGATATTAATTTGCAGTATTAAATCATATAATTTCAAAATTATTTATAAAACAAAGTCTACTCCACCAGAACGGGTTTTCCTTGCTAATATCTACTTACAGAAATAGTTAAAGGAAGTTACAAATGTAGAAAAATATCAAGCTGTAGGTAAAAAAATAAAAAAAAAATCGTTTACGGGAGGAGCGTTAATCTTTGCATAACTTTGGGTGCTGGTAATAGCAAAAACTCAAATAAAGGGAGGATAACAGTAATTGCTCCTTGTTATTTGAGTTCTTGCTATTTGTTTTCTGGCATATATCTATGTATGAATGTTTTTTCCCGGAGCCATATGCGATTGGCGTCTGCGCAGCGTGATATCCCTCCTATGGCATTAGGTAAAGACAGTTTTTTGCCTTATGCTCAACCTGAATACATTCTATATTCTCCACCACTCGCTTAAACAAAAATTATTGTACATAATTAAGAGAGAAAACAATTTTTCTTATTTGAACTTTTGTCAAAATCAAAATTTATTTAGTGAAACAGAAATTTTAAATTCTTGCTCCAAATTCGCTATTCAATAACGTATGCTATTGAAAAATGCCACGCGACACCTGCAGGATTCTATATCAGCATAGAATCGTAGCGTTTGTATGTATTTCAAATAAAAATCCTATGCCCTTCATTTTTATAATTATTTAATTATTTATTTCGCAGGCAATTGCCAAACATAAATTATTGTACAGACTTTAGAAAGTGTTTTTAGTTAGTAAAATAACGAGCGCTTAACCTAAGTTTTTATATCTATTTATGTACATATGTATGTACAAGAACATGATTAGAAATCAAACAAATTTCTATTATAAAAATATATATAGTACATATATACATATATTTTTTGTGTGTATATATTTTATATACTTGCTTTGATAAAGATTTTGGTTTTTTTACACTTTAAAATAATACTTAGAAAGTATTTTCTCATCACATGCTATAATTTGCTAAATATGTATGTCTATTTTATATGCATAAGCATTTATTTCAACTAAGGAAAAAGGGTAAATGTACTATGTAATATCTTTGTGACATTGTTTTTCGTTTTAACTACCGATCGCCTGATAAGCAGCCGTATTACCCAGTGATTTTTGAATGCTGTAAATTACGCTGAAACAAAAAAGCAACATTCAATTAACTTCAATTTTCACTGAACTTTAATGTATTTATTTACAATCGCTACGAACTTACGCAATCAATGTGAAACAAAGTAAATACAGTCCCGCGCTTATGAAATTGAAGATTCCTGGATAAAATTCGATTGTCGCATTATATACTATTGCATATAGTGGTGCCGCGCCGAGTGGGGACAGCGACTCCAGCGACGTGGTGAAAGCAAATATTTTGCCTAGTTTTTTATTGTATATAATATATATATCAAAATAAATGGAATAAAATATCATAAATGGAATGCTTACCAACTTCCGTCGGTGGCGCCACATGTGATAGTATGGCACGCGCCATAGGACCCATTATGCCACGCATGCCGCCTAGTATCATACCCAAATATAACTCCCACCAATACATGGCAGTGGCACGCACGGTACTCTCCAACACACAGCAGGCCAAGGAAAGCATTGTCATGGAGACAATTGAGAATTTGAGAACTTTTCGCAAGAAAATTAAACCGAAAATACTGCCAAATATCTGCACAACAATGCGTGCAGCGTTGAATAGTGTATAGTCTTTCAGTGTCCACTCGAACTTGGCACGAAAGAAGAGATATGTTACATTGCTGTCACCCTCTAAGGAGTGCAGAACGTGTGAATATTAACTAAAATTGTAATTCTATATAAGAGAGTCAATTTATGCATACCCATGGTGAATAATGCGATAGTTAGTGTAATCATTGTCAGCCAAATGATGGCACGATCGTAGCTGGGTCGTCGTTCGAAGCAAGTATGCACGAGGTCCTTAACCAAATCAAAGCGGAAGAATTCACGTATTTTGGACTAAAAATAAATGCATTAAATAATGAAAATTTTAAAGATTTTTCAAGATTGAATATAATCAATGATGCTCTTACACCAGAATGAATTTGATCGGGCCGCAAACTTTCCACCACAAATATGACCACATATAATAAGGCGAGTAGCATTAGCAGTGCCGAAATGCCAAACACTGTCACAACATTTGTGGCCGCGTATACGTAACCGCTAAGCACATTACCAACCATCATGCCAGCCAACAGTGAAGCTTCATTCAACACCATGCTGTAAGCAGATAGATATAAAACTGCATTTCGTATGTCTTATAAAGAAAATTATTGCCTTACCGTACAGCGCGCGCTTTTTCCTTAGCTACATCCGAAATGTAGCAATAAATACCAGTTATTAGAGCGCAGGTGCCACCACTAATCACCGAGGGTACGGAAGATAGTAGAAAAAGCCATGGGCTAATTACAACTTTCGTCGAAATAAAAGCCAACACCGTTAGTATTACGCAGCCAGTGAGGTAGCCTTGAGTAAAAACAAAAAAAAAAAAAAAATAAGTCAGACAAGGATTGCAAGTTTATGGCAAGATTTTTTTGTTTATAATTCAATGACTCTAAGTTTAAAAATGAAAAGCAATCACTTTCAGAAAGCTATGAATCAGCGTCATTTAAGTACTTTATCGCATCTTTGCTCATCCAGTCGCTTAGAGCACAGTGAAAAGCATGAATTGCAATGCCTTTAACTGTTTATATTACAATTTGTCATAACATATCGCTTCGAAACGTTTTAAAATGTAAATATTAATCGAAGGTCTACTACTGTTAGACTTGTAGTGACATAATACTATTAAAACAAAAATGTTTTGTATAATAATAACATTTTAATATGTAAGTGAATTACTTTCAACTAAGCAAAAACAAATTTTCATCAAAAAATAATAATAAAGGGCCTGTTTAGTGTCACATTTATATATGTACAAATTATTTAACTTACCTGTATATGTTGCGAGTATAATAGGACGACGTCCAAACTTATCCGACCATGGACCCACAAATAAACTAACGAATGCTGGTATAATGCTCTCCAAAAGTGAACGAGCCATTAGAATTCGTGCAACATACGGTTGTACACGCGTTTCGATTTCCTATGTTAAATAAAGGATAACAAATTACCATTTAATTTGCTTAAAAAAACACCGTTTTTAATAAAAAAAAAATATAATAGACCTTCTATTTACATGCATGCATTAACAAATGCGTATACGCGACTTGACAAAACAAATATTAAAATACCAAGAGATGTTTTTCAAAAATAATAACCTCTGCCTAAACAAAGGAAAAGGTATTTTTTAATCATAGAAGTGCGCTGTTATTTTTAATTTGCATTCATTTTATGGTAATTATTTTTGCACTTACTCATTGACCTATTTCACTATTAAAGTGCAATCTACACGTGAAAAGAAGTCGCTACTTATATATATGTATTACCGCAAGCTTCTTACACATTACTTATGTAATGTATGCATATGAGCGAAGCAGCTGTAGCGAAAAAAAAATAAATTATGTGCCGACGTTAGTTGCCATTGTTTGAATAATAATGATAAGTTAGTGCATATTACGTACATATATACGCCCTATATACAATTGTATGTATCTACATATGTACGTAAATATATAAAACTTATCAATGCAAAATGAAATACGCATTCTAAGAGTTATTATTGTAATAACTAAGAAAAATTAAATAGTTGAATATAGCTGGTAAAATTACAATATTCATTGCGATGTACACGTACATATGTATAAAAATACATTATGTAATTGCACACCACTGGAAAATTCAGTAAATATATGAGTTATGTTTTGACTGTATATTGAAATGTAATCGGAGCTTTTAATAAATAAAAAACATCTGACCTTCATTAAAAAAAAGGAAAAAATATCATAATTTATCAATTCAAATTAATTGTAGACATGAAAAACTTAGCATAAAAAATGCAGTAGAATTATATTTCATTACCAATAATAGCTTCAATTCTGTAAACAAGGGAAAACTATTAACTATTTGTCACTCACCTCAGCTTCTTTCGTTTCTCTGCTAACACCCAGCAGTGGCTGGCAATCACTTTCATTATATTTGTATACTGCGACACAAGTCTGATAAAGAACTTGGTTCTGATAAACCGCCCCTTAAAAAGCAAGAAAATACAAGTTAATAGAATATTTAACAAAAAAAAAAAATAAAATAAATAAAAAAAACTACCTGATAAATACATTGCAAGGAAAACCAAAAATACTGCAGGTTCTAAGATGAACCAACGTCTACGCGGCGATGTATATGGTCCATCATTGGCTGCAACAGACGCGTCATCTTTGCTTGTCGTTTCATCGTTACGATTACCATCTGAATTACTGCTATGTGCGGTTGCCGTAGACGGTGTGTGGCTAATATTCGCAGCATCCAGCACCTGAGGCGACTCATCACCTGCTTCCGGATCATATAAACTCTCCTGGTCTGAGTTCATTGTTATATAGTAAAATTAGAGATATATTTGTGGGTAGAATGTCTGTAAGCTCGTTTAGTTGCTATTTGTTTTTGAGATTTTTAAACACTGCTGTATTATTTTTAATGGCAAATTTTAAGCTGTCGCCATTTTTTCTCTTCGATTTAACTTGTGTTATTTACATAGTATGTAAGTAAGCTTTCATATCGAAATTACGCTACAGTGTGATAATGTGGTGCTAATGCTATTGTCTGCTTACTGTCGAAGTAGAATACGAGTTTTGTTTTCGAAGTCGAGTCCGAGTTCAACAATGATATTACAATGAGCGCTCAAATGTAAACTGAGCTGAAATCTTTCTGCTTCGTTGATTTTGTTTGGTTTTGGTTGTGAAAGTCTCGTACACATATTGCGAAGAGGCAGCTAGCTTCTAACTCCTGTTCTTGTTTGCACTCCCATAACACGTCTCTCTTCAGAACTCAGATTATTTCACTACTGTATTGGTTTTAACAAAATTAGTTTTCCTTTGTTTAAGTTGCTTTTGATATGGTACATTTAATCTGCAAATTCATTCAGCAAATTTGCGTTTTAATTAACTAAATGTAGCAAGAGGAATAAAACAAACACTGATAAAATTCACGATAATAGTGGGAAATTGATCGCTGCCAGCTGTCAAAATCAGCTGATTGTTACAAATTTGTAAACAAAATGTATTTGTTGCCTAATACACCTGTTTGGAAACAAAGTATTTATGTAAACAAAATTCTCAAGTATATGCATTTGTGCATATTTATATGCATATGATGTCAAGCCATAAAGGCCATAAAGTTTGATCCCTGTATTGTAACCTAAATTTCCACAGATTAGTCTGAATAGAATTTTACGAGAGTGACACCAGAGAGCACATAACATGTTATACGTTCTCTGGTGACACTTCTTGTCAGATTTTAATTTAGCGTAGAACGGTAAAAAACCGATTTTCGAAGTTAATTTGTTTGTTTTGTTTTTTCTCAAATATGTATTACAATATCATTATATATAAATATACTGTATATACATGAAACAATACTGAAATTACAAATAGAATTGAAAATTAAAAATCTTTGGCCACAAATTCATAACTGTTTGTTGAACTACAAATGTACATGGGTACGTATTATCTACACATAATATATTCATTTAATAGTATTCAGTATTTCATTAGTTTTTAAAAAGTCTACGAATTCTTTACTCTGGTAGCATGCGATTTAGATTTGTCTGTTTCTTCCATTTCCGTTTCCGATGCAACCAGTCTTCTGCTAACTCGACGTTCAAAAATAAAAATTACTCTCTTGTGCATGAATTAAAGAAAAGAAATGACATTAAATCATAGCTCTTCATTTATATTATATTTATCTAATAAATGTGTACATTCATATGAATGTATATTTGTACTAAAGGCACTCCACATAAAATCCTGCGCTGATGAAATTAAACAAACCAGGATAGAACTTCAACGTGGCACAATGGGTTTGATATTTACTACCGATTTCATTGGATGGTATGGCTAGTGAAACAATTGTCTGCAAAATTGGACCTGTTATGCCTGACATAAGACCAAAGGAGGAGGAGGAGGAGTTGCTGTGCAGAGGCGCGAATTAAACTCTCCACTACACAGCCGAATAAACCCATCATGGCAATTTTCGGAAATGATATTTTGAAAAGCTGAAATGAAAATTGTTATTGCGGGATTTTAAAAAGGATTTTAGCACTCACGTTTCTGAACAAACCGAACGCCGCTAAACAGCCCACCATTTTAATGGTGATACCGATGGCATTGAAGTAGGTAAACTGTTCCAAAGTGACATTGAATTTGGTGCGCAGGAATAAGTACAAAATACCAAGTTCTCCGCCTGAAAAACAATGTTGAAAGAGACGTAGTGAGTTGTGAGTCACAACAAAAACATTGAACATAAAAAAGTCGCCTGGTTACGACCAGATTACACCGCGAATGTTAACAGAACTATATAATATTGCTTTTGATTTCTTGGCTCAACTTCAACTTAGATGTTTTCCGAAACCGTTGAAAAAGTTACAGTTTATCATTAGAGCCTAACATGGAAAAGACGCAACGTGCACAAAAAATTACCAACAGACCTTCGCTTCATAACTTACATAACAGAAGCTTTGCAGTTAAACCAAATGAAGTTATCTCAGTGGAGTATGCAATTATGGCTGGTTTCCTCAAGGTAGCGTTCGTATGTCTTATACACTGCAAACATTCCAACTGGTACAAAAGTACTAACCTCAAAATTCGCAGACGATAACGCTATTTAATGTCGGAATAAGTGAATATACTCATTTTTTGATATTTAAAAAAAAAAAAAAAACAACAACAACAAAAACTCACTTTCGACTCGTGATTCTGCATAACAGGATCCGAAATCTCTGAAGCAAAAAACAATAAAATAAACCGGCAACTCCAAGGACATCATTCGCCTACACGGCGGTCGTCTTAAAGTGGGTGCAAGCACTTTCATCTGCATGGTTATCCCTATCGATATTCTCCGTTGGGCTCGTGCTGGATGTCACTGCTGATTCGTTCTTCTCGCTGAACTTTCGCCAACTCGATTTGATTCGTAGAGCCATATAGGGCTTCGAGTACGGGGTGTTTTTTCTAGCGATGGACTTGACAACTTTGATTGCATTCCTCGTTCTTCGTTCTCTCCGATTGAAGAGGTGATAGCTCTCGAGGGGATTTGTGTGAAAATATATGTGCGTGTGTATGTACTCGGCCTTTCGTACGAAACTATTATTGGGAATTTATTCTTTTTCAACAGTAGAAAAATGTAAACAAAATTCTCAATGTAGTGTATCGTGGGGTAAACAAAGCTTTTGGAGTGACATATTACTCTCCCATGATATCGCTGCAGCAAGAGTAATGCATCCTTCCGTGCATTCTCCAACATTCCTTTCTCCCACTGGAATGACCGAAGAAAATATCTACATGTGAAGTGTGACGGGAAATCTTTGTTAGATCATAGAGTTTGCTCCGTGTTTTCTAATCTCAATTATTCCATAGATTGGTTTCAATAGATTGTTGTGGGATTAACGACCCTTATCCGGTTTAAATTTAGCATAGTTCCGGCAGAAAAATAAACGAAACTCATAGAATGAATTTACACAGTGATGGTGAAATAAGAGAAATTTACAAAATAAAAGAGTGAAACCAAATTGGTTTTTTTTTTGTTTTTGGTAATATTATTATATATATACATACCAATACATGGAAACTTAAAAATTACTAATGCCACTAATATTATAAATTATTAACCGCTTCTTAAACTACAAAGGTAAATATCTCATAAATGCTACGCGTTATGTACTTTGGCAGCATCCGATTGAGATTTGCCTGCTTCTTCATTTTCCGCCATTCGTCTGCTAACTCGACGTTCAAAAATGAAAATTACTCTATTGGATAGAAATGGCATTGATGTAATATTTATCTACTAAATGTGTACATTCATATGTATGTATATACATATGTACTAACTTACATCATAACACAAAAGCACCCCGCATAAAATCCTGCGCTGATAAAATTAAACAAACCAGGATAGAAATCCAACGTTTGATTATAGACTAACGTGTATAAGGGCGCCGACAGCAGCGGTGTGAGTGTTTGAAGGGATGAGGCCAGTGAGTAGACTTTTCCTAAAAGAAAGTGCGTCCATTTGTAGCAAAGGCGTGGCACAATGGGTTTGATATTTACTTACCGATTTCATTGGATGGTATGGCTAGTGAAACAATTGACTGCAACATTGGACCTGTTATGCCTGACATAAGACCAAAGGAGGCGGCCATGTACATTTGCCAGAATTGCTGTGCAACGGCGCGAATTAAACTCTCCACTACACAGCCGAATAAACCCATCATAGCAATTGCCGGAAATGATATTTTGAAAAGCTGAAATGAAAATTGTTATTGCGGGATTTTAAAAAGGATTTTAGCACTCACGTTTCTGAACAAACCGAACGCCGCTAAACAGCCCACCATTTTAATGGTGATACCGATGGCATTGAAGTAGGTAAACTGTTCCAAAGTGACATTGAATTTGGTGCGCAGGAATAAGTACAAAATACCAAGTTCTCCGCCTGAAAAACAATTTTTTTGTTACATATACATAAATATATTATAGCTCTAAGTACTCCGGTAGTGGCTAGTGGGAACGATGCGCGCAGCAGAAAAACATTTTCAATTTTTCTTGTCGAAAATACTTTTTAATTTTAATTGCTTTAACACCTTGCATAGGTAAATATAAAAACGTGTTCAAAGGGCTTGAGCTCGAATCATGAGCATTGAAAAAGTGTGCGAGCTCTATCCGCTCAAATGCCACATCTTGGAGTATGGACTCTATACTTTTAATTGTGCCAAACCCGATTCATTACTTACTTCCTGCGAAATTTGTCATTATCAAAATCGAAACAGTACAACAAACAATCGCTCGTCCATAATTAGGACGCGACTTCACGCATGTCTCAACCAGCTCTTTGATTAATCGTACATCGAAAAAGTGTTTCGCTTTTTCCTGGAATTAAAAAAAGGAATTATGTGTAAATCTGTATTACACAAAGCTTATGTGTATTTCTTGCCGAAAGACTGGTTTCCGCGACATCTAAGCTCTCGCCAATGCAAACCATTATATAAGCTAAAGCCAGAAACGAAAGTGCAGCTGATGTGACACAGACTGTAGGTGTATTTGTGAGACGTAACAAATAACTGCTTATCACATTACCCAAGACCACACCCAAGCCCATCGCCATCTCTACATAGAACATGCTGAGAAAGTTAATAAATTAAATAAAAAAATATATATTTGGTAAGTGGCAAAAGTTCGGTGATCTAATCGTGAGTGTCATTCGCTTACCGTTTCGCTTTGCTTTCCATGTCAGAAACATCGGATATATAGCAAAATACAATTGTGATCATGCAACAACCACCACCAGCAATTGTCAATGGTAGGCCACCCAACAAATATAACCAAGGGTTCAGTGATAACTTCTTGGAGAAAGTCACCAAAATAGTGGTTATAATGTGACCAACGAAGCTAGCTATCATATAGACATAAGTTTTGCTTTTATTATTTTTTTTTTTATAAAATTACTGTTATAATTTATGATTGTTTTACTTTACCCCCGAAAGTCATCAACAGTATTGGACGTCGTCCAAATTTATCCGACCAGGGACCCACAAACAAAACCAGTATACCGGGCCATACATTATTCAGCATAGAACTGACCATATTGATTTTGGAAACATATGGTTGAATCTGTTTCTCGATTATCTGAAAGTATATTACGAAGAGTGGTAATTAAAAATAAATTAATTAATTATTCAATAAATTCTGTTCATAAAATAACCTTCATTTAAGCGTATAAAATTATATACCTATATATGTACGAGGTGTGTTCAAAAAATATCGCGAATTTTGTGTTTTTTCAAAAATTATTTATTTGTTCATGAATATTTATTTTGTACCCTTCAAAGTAATCCCCATGAGATATTATACACTTGTGCTACCGGTTTTTGCAATCTTCGAAGCACTTCAAAAAATCATTTTTTTTATCTTGTTCAGCTCCTCCTGAATGCCGTCGTAGCGTAACGTCATCCTTTCATGGGCCTCTTCAGTTTAGGGAACAAGAAAAAGTCACAGGGGGCCAGATCTGGGAAATACGGTGGCTGCGACATCATTAGTGTGTTGTTTTTGGCCAAAGTCGCACACAAGCAACGATGTGTGAGCAGGGGCGTTATCGTGGTGCGAAAGCCAATTTTTGTTCTTCCACAAATCCGGGCGTTTCTGGCGGATTGCAGGTGATATGCCTTATTGACCGTTCTACCCGCTGGCAAGAACTCATGAGGCACCACGCCCCTGCAATTAATTTTTTGATCTGTTGTTGAAGTGCTCGGGCGTCCGGCACGCTCTTCGTCGTTCACATCTTCTCGGCCTTCTGAGAACATTTTGTACCACCGATAAACGTTGCTTCGATCCAAGGTAGCTTCTCTGTATGCCGCAGTCAACATTCGGAATGCATCCGCGCACTTAATTTCGTTTTTCACACAAAGTTTGATACAGGTTTTTTGATCCATTTTCAAAATGGCCGAACTTAACGGCATAAGTGACAGACATGAGTACCAACATAACGTAAAAAAAAAAATTGAAATTCGATTATACGTAACCCGCGAAAATTCAAAATTCGCGATACTTTTTGAACACACCTAACACATACATTCGTGTTCTACAAGAAAACGAAGTTTTGAATTAAAAAAAAAAATTATTTAGTCATCTGCGTTCATTTTATTTCCTTTCAAATAGTTCTCATTAGAGATCTTTCAATCCTCGAAGCTCTTTTCAAACTCAATCTTTAAGATATTCCTAACTTTTTTTACCATGAGCTTATAAAATCATCATCAGCCGGAAGGTTCTCTTCATAGTTGGAAATAGGAAAAGGTCGTCCCACGGGGCCATGTTGTTGGCATTGTTGTAGCATTGGCTTTGGGCACGAACTAGTAATGAAGTGTGTTCGGATTTCTTCACACAAATTTATTTATTTTTTTTTTGTATAATGTTTTATTGAATCTCTCCTTTTTGGAAACTAACAATAATTTCGAAACTCTCAAAGCTAATTCTTATTCCTGGAAAAAGTTAATCATTAATATTGTATAGATTAACAAAGTAAGCAAAGTAAAATAAATTACGAATATAACTTAGATTTATCAAAGAATGTGTTTGTATACATAGATATCATTAAGGATACCAAACAGTCATGTTTCAAATTTAACAAAAAATGTATCACACAAATGGCGTCGCCTAGCAGTAGATCACCAGCTAGCCCAAGTTTATTCAAGTATATTAAGTTTGTAAATAAAGTTAGAAATATGCAGGTCCTCTTGCTGTATTTTGACATTTGTCAATCTGAACTGTCAAATCAAATATATTTTGAAAGCCATCGCTTTCAACAAGCGTACGCGCACAACGCGGTCAATCAAACGTGGGGATAAGAGGTGATAATATTGCACATAATTGTCCAACTACTCAAGCAATTGTAAAATTTTTAAGAAATTTTAAGGGATTGTATTGGTTACATATATTTTAAGGCCTATACACCGTCATTTCGTTCCTTCCACATCAAATCTCGCTAATGAATTTGGTGCTCTGAGAATTTCCAAGTAATTGAAGAGAGGCCATTGCACCCAAAAAAATTACTGTGTGGTGCGATCTTTGATTCTGGGGTGTGACTGGTCCTTACATCTTTGAAAACGATAACGGAGAAGATGTCACTCTGAATTCGGAGCATTTTGGTCATATGATAGCCGACTTTTTTGGGTATGGAATTGAAGAACAATACCTGAACAATATCTAGTGTCTCAGAACATGAGCGAATATGGCTTTATTGCAAGAGAAATTTCATGTCCGCGTAAACCCTCGTCTTGGCCTCTGAAAAACGTGTGATTAGACACCAGACCTCTCCTGCGGAGAGCCGCGAAAAACCGTGTGTATGGGGATAAGCTTTTAACTCTTGAGCACTCTTCAAACCCAGAATTCGTTATGTGCCAAAAAGTGATCGTAAATTTCCTTAAACTGAACGAAGTTTGCAAAAGTTTACGAGACGGTCATTTGAATGAAGGTTCAAACTTTATAATAAAAAAGGGATTGCATGAAAAAAATCGATAACCCTGTATTATATATGTATGCATGTCATAACTGCTAGGTGCTTCCCCGTGCCAAATTCAATACAAATAAATATTTCGTGTGCGTGTGTAAGTATATTTTGATTATAACTGCTATTAAAAATTTGATTTGAATCTAAACAACAACAGTAAATATTTTTTTAAATTTGTCACAAAGCGAATTTATAGCAGGTGAAGTTGTCACAACATTTGATTGCTCATTCTTCCTTCCATTGCAGCAAATTACACAAGCAAAATACATGAGCGATTGGTTTTGACATTACGAACTTTCGATTACACCAACAAAATACATTGCACGAATTTCGTTTTGGACTTTTCGAATCTACGATAACGCAAACAAACTACATAGGCTTTTTGTTTTTACATTTTTGCTACTACCATGTGTGAATTTGCCTTAGATTTATCGTATGATTTACTTCTCTTTTCCCCGCAAAGTGGACTCAGTACCGAAAAATCTGTATTTATGGTTTATCTATATTTGGAAAAATTACACTTTCATGGTTCGTTTGAGTAAAAATTTGCTTTTGTTTCCTGGAAATATACCATAGAACTGGAATCTTGCTTGCTTGCCTCGAAATAAAAATAACATTTTCTTACCGGCAGGATGAAAAAAAAGTTGGTAAATTTGGATATAAGCATAGATCCTGAGTAGGTATGTTTGCTTCGCATTTTTATTATTCTGTGAATGGCGGATCCAAGCTATTTTTATACGTTCACTTTGAGTATGGGAGAGCATAGATCCGAATGGTGTGTTTTGCTTACTTCGAGGCATTCATTCGGACATTTCCGTGAAGGACTTTGAGCAGCGAAATAGCTACCGATATACATATATAAATAGGTAGGTAGAGCATATAATCCACAGCAATGGGTGGCCTTATCTCTTAGTACTAATTTATTCGTGGTGGATTTAGGTCCTTAAATATTTTTTATAGGAAGAAATGAACCTAGTTTTTGATTAAAGCTTACAACTTATTTGTTTACAACAAAAAAAAAAAAAAAAAAAACACTAGAGACCAAATCAAATGCATACAATTTATTTCTAGGAAATCAGCAAAAAAAAACTCACTTCCGCTTCCTTTGTTTTGGGAACAATGCCACGTAGAGGCTCACAATCGCTCGCATTGTAATTAAAAACGGCCACACAAGTTTGATATAATTCTTGATTTTGCATAACAGGGCCCGAGATCACTAAAGCAAGAAACAGTAAAAAAAACGGCAACTCCAAGGTCATTATTCGCCTACGCGGCGGTCGTCTTATAGTGGGTGCAAGCAGCTCTGTCGATGAACTTTCATCTGCATGGCTCTCCCTATCGATATTCTCCGTTGAGCTCGTGCTGGTTGTTATTGCTATGAAGGCGGGTGCTGTAAGGTGCGCTTCTGTGTCGGCGCCCTGTGAGGGTGCCTCCAAAATGTGTCTATCATCAACTTCGTTGGACATTTTGTTTTAGTTTTATTTTCTCTGTTGTATTTTTCTAATAATTTTTCTAATAATTCAATTATTACTTCTATTATTTATAAATATTTACTATTCTTTTTAAATTTTTTTCGCATATCATTTAAGCGGTTTCATCATCCATACTTCAGATAAGCGAGTTAAATAGCGGTTCGAGTGATTTCATTCGTATGATTTGCACATTTATTTTTTGCTCTTTGTGTGAACCTTTTCCCACATTAGTGCGCTGCCGTTAGAGTCGTTAGATAGTGTATTGAATGTACGCGAGCGATCGAATCTGAAAACATACTGACTTTATAAATGTTATTCTAGCGGCTAGTCAGCTCTCCAATTGATAGATTGTCTCATTTTTTGGTTTGGTTGGCAATCAAACGCGCGCGATAACTGTGTAATTGTGAATGACTGGCTAATTTAATGTTGGTGTCTGTGATTTGTATGAAAGTGTGGACTTGTTTTTTTGTAGGCGTTTTATATTGAATGTTGTGTCTGTGTGTGTGTAAATATTTACTAACGCATGAAGCTCTAATCGGAAGTTAATTCCCTTTCGTAATTATTGTGGCAGGTGTTTGAAGTGCGAATTTAATTTTTTTGTTGTTTTGTGTTTTGTTCAATCAGTAGAAATATGTAAACCAAATTTTTAAGGTAAACACTTGCAAATGTAGCTACCATGGCAAGTATATGTAGTGTAGACTGTACAACTACTGGCGACGCCTCAACAACCGCGCCGTTAGTTCTGCTTTCTCCAGGCTGGATAAAGAAGCCAAGCGAATGGGTCTGGTAGTGAACGAGATCAAGGCGAAATATCTTCTGTTATCAAACAAACAGTCATCGCATTCGCGACTTGGCTTCCACGTCACTGTTGACAGTCATAATTTTGAAGTCGTAGATAATTTCATCCATCCAGGAACCAGCATTAGCACCAGTAATAACGTCAGCCTTAAAATCCAACGCAGAATAACTCTTGCCAAGAGGTGCTACTTTGGACTTAGTAGGCAATTGAAAAGTAAAGTCCTCTCTCGGCGAACGAAAACCAAACTCTACAAGTCCCTCATCGTTCCCGTCCTGCTATATGGTGCGGAAGCATGGACGATGACAGTATCTGATAAGTCATCGTTAGGAGTTTTTGAGAGAAAGGTTTTGCGTAAGATTTATAGCCCGCCGGCGGAAGCAGAGGAAGAGGAAAGACCAGGTAAAGAAGGACCTGGCTGTACTTGGTATTTCCAATTGGCGCCAAACAGCAAAAACAAGAAACTAATGGGCGCAGTGTTGTTAAATCGGCTATTAACGCGTGAGCGGTGTCTACACCAGTAAAGTAAGTAAGTAAGTTAGGATAAGAACTTTGGGCTAGAGGCACACTAACTCGTTCCTTATCTGAAAATGACCAGCAAATTAAATTTAACACTTCTTGTCGACGCCTTTAAAATTGATTACGACTGTGGAGTTATGTTAAAATTGTGTATAAATCAAAATTTGCTTGCAATAATGAGTAAGCTATTTATATTTAATTGCCAATGGGAATGATAAAAAAGCTCTTCGCAGGTTAAATATACATGCGAGTATATGTACATACATATGTTTTAATTCGCTTTCACAAAATGTAAAATTGTTTATTTTTGTGTTATACATTCATTCTGACAAAAAATGCCTGTGAATTGATTGTTTAAAAGCTTAGGGAAACTTAGATTTTGCTAAAACTTTGTGATTGAGTTTGAGTTGCCAATCAACTTTATTACTCACTGCGAGTGCTCTTTTAACGCTCTTCTCTTTTCGATTGGAAACTGTTGCCAGGATGTGGTAACTTAAATTTTGGATTGAGAAAAAGTCAACTAGGGCAATATCTGGTGAATGTGGTGGTAGTTGGATGGTCTTTTTATGAATCTTTAGCTAGAAATGCGTTCATAATGTTAGCCGTGTGGGATGGTTCGCTATTGTGGTACAAATGCACCAGGTTTTCATTCCAAAAATCTCACCTTTTTAGACGAACTTACTTTCCCAAACGCCGCATAATGCTAAGAAAATCAAGCGTTATTTACTTTCTATAAAGTTTTTCAATCGTTAGAAATGACCGTGGTAGTTTTCGACCACGTTTTTGCACATACTGCGCGGAATCTCAGTCATAACCTAACGAAATCGCTCAATAGTTACAGGTTTAACCGCAAAGACACGGTCTTTCATGGCCGGGAAATTTCTATCGCAATGAAGCCATATTCGCTTGTGTTGTGTGGCATCTTGTGTAAACTCCATATTCGCTCCGAATCGACAGTGACAGTCTCGCCGTAGTCGTTTTCAAATATATGCTATGTCCAATCACACCTCCGGAGCAGGTTTGGTTTGACAGTTAATTTTGACAGATGTCAAAATACAACTCCTTTAAGACAGTGAGTTATATGAATAAAATATTTAATTTTTTATGTATAAAAAATAGTTGAAAATAGACCTTTTTCTCTGAGTAAATGGTGAAGTCCCGGTGCTTTTTTGACACAATGTAAGCGGTTTATTTATTTATTTAAACTCACTCAGACGAGATGCTTTTGTGGCTACTTGTAGATACGAAAGTTTATCAGTATTCACTATTTATTTAAACGATTACACACGTTTCTTAAAAAGATATACTTATTCACTTATGTATGTATGTACACGTATATACCTGTATATGTGTTTTGGCTTATTTGGAAATAATTCACAAAAGAAGAGATTAAATGTAGTTAAGAGTAAGTCTATTGTAATGAGGCTTATTTTAGTGAATATACCTCTATAAATATACATACATATACAATGAAAATCTTAAATAAATAAAATTTACATATGAAGATAAATTTCATTGACAATTAAGGCCGTATGCCGCCAATAACGAGCCGAATATGCCCTTCCAAAGAGTCAATCGTATCTGGCTTGTCTGTGTGACAAACAACTTCACATAACCTCACAAAGCAAAGTCCGGAAGTGTTAAATCGTAAGATCACGAGAAATAATGCGCCCAATAAAATTTTTTTTCCAATAAATTTTCTAAACGGCATGTAACGCCGTCACGTTGGAACCTACCAATCCGACATGGCTCTATAGGGTTTCCCTTTGACTGCAACATTATGGCCTGCTTCAACAAGGTATCATCACTCCGTTTCAGGGCCATTCGCCGAGCGTGCGACGTTATTGATGATCGTTCGGCATCAATTATTGCACAAGTTGGATTTTGTAAACTCGTTAAGCAAGATCATTTCGGATGATCTTCCATAAAGCGGATGGGTACAGACTCGATTATTACGCGCGATGACTGATGGACTCATTCGGGTATTTTTCGATATTCTGCTCTAAAAAATATCTTTTATATATTGAATTGAAAAATAATTATTTTTTTTTTGCATTAAGACTATAAATCATATACCATTATCTAATTTTAATACTGTACTTAATTATAATAATAATAATAAATTTTTAATTTTGTGCTTAATAGTCTACAACTCGTGTGAGTCTATTTTAAGTTTCCGCCTTTTCTACTTTTTCCATTGCGCCCTTTTCTGTTTCAGCATCTTTTGATCTTTTAGCAACTCTTCGTTGGAAAACGTTGATTACGCTGTTTGGGAGAGTTGGAGAAAAGTTGTAGTTTTGAAGACTTTGAATGCTCTAGTTTAAAGAAATAGATTTAGGTAAATAGTTTACAAGTAGAAATGGTGAGGAAGCTTCTGGCCAGTAGCTACAGTCGCGGGCTATTTTTATTCTGGAGCCTTCTTGCAATATGCGGTTACCGACCCGTGTGGAGCCTTAGATCGGAGCCAAAAGAGAGGATGCTTCAGAAGAGCCACTCTGATTTATTCGGTTTAAGGGACAGCTGAAGTCTAATTTTAGTGGTTGGCTATGTAAATGTGTGCTATATTCAAACCTACTAATGGGTTTATCACTCAGAAACCAGACGGCACGATGAGGGTTGCCGCACCGCAGTGGAGAGAAAACCGACTGCCCAGCAATCGATGTTGCGAAGATGGAAGCAAGGCGCATATGCAGATTAAAAATAAACCGTGATGCGTGAGACGCTGTCCGAATCGCCAATCGATGCCGATGGAACGTAAGGATCATCTGAGAAATCACAAAAAAGAGGGATCTCCAGTGTGCGTCAATCACCGAGGGATAAACCTCCTAAATATCGCGTGGGAGACTAGATCCCACAGACCTTATCAGTGCGGCTTCAGACCTAGTAAGAATACTCGATAAGAGACAAAAAATAGACACACACCATGTCTGATATTCACGGAAAACTTTTACGGCTGTGTACACTGGCGTTAATCAACAACAAAAGAACCTCTCCGAGCCGTTTGATAGCAAATGAGGTTACAAACAAGTTGACTCTTCATCATGTGAATTCGTTAACTCTTTGCTGCAGAAATTAATACTGGCAACAGAGTTGAATAAATAAGGTACAATCTTCTATAAGAGTGTACAGCCGCGGGGGTGCGCGGGTGATGTTGACATCGTTTACTTGTCTCCCCAGTCACTGTTGGCAATCACAACAATGCAAGGATGGATTCTGGATTCCAAAGTCGCTCTTGCCAACAGGTGCTGTTTTGGACTGAATAGGCGAATGAAAAGTAAAGTTCTCTCTCGACGAACAAATACTAAAGTTTAGAAAGAAGACGCTCATTATTCACGTCCTGCGGTAAGGTAGGGTGCCATGGATGATCAGATTTATGGTCCTCTACGTCTGTAAACCGCTACAGACAGAACAATGAACTATACGAGATAAGCGCTGGCATTGGCATAGTTCAACGAATAAAGGGAGAGCGGCTACGTTAACCAGACCATTTAGTCCGGATGATTAAGGAAACTCCATCTTTAAAAGTTTTCGATAAGTTAACTTACAACATAGCACAGAAACACTCCACGAAAAGTCCGGTGCTGATAAAATTGAATAAACCAGGATTGAAATTCAGCGTGCGATTATAAACGTATGTATACAAGGGCGCAGATATTAAAGGTGAAAGGGTTTGCGTACAAGAAGCCAGAGAGTACACTTTACCTGTAAATTAAAAAAAAAAAAACAATGTATTTTTCTAAAATATTTAAGTAACGAGTATTTGACTTATTACCAAGTTCATTTGATGGCACCGTTGTTGAGAGTATTGCCTGCAACATTGGCGTCGTTATGCCAGACATGATTCCTAAGCCGCAGGCCATATACATTTGCCAGAAACTGTCGGCCAAACCACGTGCAAGATGATCCATAAAGCTGCCGGCGAAGCCCATCATGGCAATTACAGCGTAGGGTAGTGAGAAGAGCTGAAAGTGAAGGCGGAAATTTGTAGGAAATGTTCTGGCCAAATAACAAAGTACTCTTTTACTTTTCTAAATACCACAAAGGTAAGCGCACAGCCGGTCATTTTAATTGTGATGACAGTGGCATTGTAGTAGGTGAATTGCTGTAAGGTCACATTGAACCTGGTGCGGAGGAATAAATAGAAAATACCGTGTTCGCCGTCTGAAGAAAAAACCAAACATTTATTTTTAGTTGCCTCAACAATGCACATTTGTTACTCACGCATTATGAAACTCGTTACCATGAAGACTGAAATGGTACAACCAATAATGGCGCGGCCATAATTCGGACGTTTTGCCACACAAGTATTTACGAGATCTCTAATTAATCTGATATCGAAGAAACTCTTCGCCTTAAGCTGAAAGAAATTGCGTACAAACCATTTGCGAGTTATACATCTAGACAGTGAACTCTCTTACCGATACCGAACTCTTTTCCACATCCAAACTTTCATCTACGAAAAAGTATATATACAACAAGCCGATAAGCACCAGAGTGGCTGATGTCAAACAGACCGTGGTAACATTCGTCTGTTTCAGCAAATAGCTGCTTACGACGTTGCCGAGCACGACGCCCAGACCCATAGCAACGTCCACAAAGAACATTCTGAGGAGAAAAGGAAATAAGCAAAACAAATTATTGAGCTCTTCACCTCAGCTCAATTCCTCTCACCTTTTCGCTTTATTCTCCATATCCGAAATATCAGATATGTAACAAAACATAATAGTGGTCATCGCACAACCGCCGCCAACCAGCGTAGATGGTATGCCACCTAGCAAATAGAACCAGGGATTCAGCGTCAGCGCTTTGGAAAAATATACCAACGTCGCCATAATCATGTGACCGGTGAAATAAGCTGTATGTGTGTTGTTGTTGTTGAAATAGAGAAAGTATTTGATACAAATTCATCATTATTGTTGTTATTAGCAATTCATACCCGTAAAACTGACCAACAGCACTGGTCGGCGCCCGAATTTATCAGACCAAGGGCCAATGAAAAGCACCAGAATACCCGGCCATACATTGTGTAATATTGAATATGTCATGGTGATGCGGGCAACGTAGGGTTGAATGTGTTTTTCGATAGCCTAAAAAAACTTATATTTAATAAATTGCTTTCTTAGGTTACTTAAAATGGCGCTTAGCTTTTAGACTGTGAGTGTACCGGCATAAGAACAAAAAAAAAGGACAAGCCTTTATACGCTTCATGGTCATATAAAATTTATGATATTCCAATTTAGGATTAATTATTAATTCTTTTATCTTATGAAATTGGTTGTAAGGGAGCTATATGATGGTATCGATGATTTTCGGTGACAATGTTAAGCTGTACAAGGTATTTAGTTTTATTAAAATTTGCCATTATGTTTAGAAGTGATCGCCGTGTCTGGCTCGAAAAATTTTCAACCAAGATACCTAATTTTCGACCACGGTTTGTAGCAATTGTGGCGCCCCCGAGGGGAAATAATTCCCTCAAAAAAAGTTTCCTACAATAAATTTATTACTTCTCCAATTCAGACATGAAAAAGTCATTAATCATGGCTCTATAGTGTTCTCCATTTACTGTTACATTTTGGCCGTATTGGCAAAGTAAACCAAGGATTTCCTTTGTCCATAGAGCACACAAAACAGAGACTTTTTGGAGTTGTGGCGGCGTCTCAACAACGAGCAGTTTGTTATCGAATCCATTCAACCAAAAGTGAGCTTAATCGCTGAACAAAACTTTCTTGTTTTATCATCGGAGGCCTTCTCATTCACCGTATGTGCTTCAATTTTTGCACGAGTTGGATTTTGTAAGCCCACAAATGAAGATTCTTCCGCAAAATCTTACCTAATTGAGCACAGCTCTAATTGTTGCGCGCGATGGCGGATGGATTCATTCGGTTCTCTGAGGATGTGCATTATCCACTAGAGTAAACGTAGTGCAAAACCGATCTATGGTTGCTCGAACGAATATTGGATGCAGCTCGTGAAGTTGTGAATTCCGACAAATAATTAATATGGTACAAAAATACATCTCCTCGCTTACCAAGTTTGGCATAAATATTTCAAAAACGGAGGGACCAGTTTGCGGACAAAAAGATGGCCAGACGGACAGCGATCAATTCAACTCGTCATTCCGATCATATTGGTATATATTTTAATTGGTTTATACCTTCTTCTTTTCTATGTTAATTATATACTTCGGACCAAAGGTCGGACCGAAGTATGAAAGGTATAATAATCGGTAATCGAATGGATGTGAATCGAAAATTCGCTTTAATTTCTGAATTACACGTCCTACATTCCGAAATATTCATAGGTAAATGATGATAATGAGCGGATATCTATATATTAACTATGCTTATTCTTTCATCTACTTCTGGGAAAATCGTAAACATTTTCTTTCGTAAAATCTCCGGTTAATGCAAACAATTTAAAAAAGTGAGCTCGGTTCAGACGGTCTCAATCTATACATTTTTCACATCATTTTTATATACACGTATAGCCATGGAAACTAAGGAATATGGGAAGAAGTTTCATTAAATTAGCTGTTGCCTATGCCGAATTCTTTCCTTATTTTTCAAAGCTTTGTCTGCACAAAGAGTAAAAATTCTTCATTCGTTTATTATTAGGTGTAGTAGAAAGAAATCCATTATTTTACCAATAGATGGCGTTATTTATCTGCATCTCCCGTTGTATACGAGTAAGTCCGATCGGGTTCCGTTAGACGGCGTTAGAAAGACATTTCGTACTGAGAAAGTTTTTGTGACAGTTTTGCGATTGGTTGATCTTTTTTTTTTGAGGCTGCGTCAATGGACCCTAGCAAAGGTGACATTCGCTATATTTTACAGTTCTCCTTTGATAAGGTCGAAAACACAGCCAGGTCACTGAAAATGGGAATAGCGTTTATGGTCCTGTTACTGTTGCAGTTAAAGATGCGGAATTTCGATTTCACGCCGGTAGTTTTGATATAAAAGATGCTTCACGGAGGGGAAGGCCAATTATCGAAAATATCGATAAAATCATGGACATTGGCGAGTTCGACCGTCGATTGCTCAAGAGCCTTTGAATAAGGCTGAATGCGAAAAGTAAAAATTTAACCCTTCAGTTGCATGCAAAAATAATGGATTACTTTTTACTACACCTAATATATAAATTCGGCTTATGATGAGATCTTAGCCTCACATATACAGAACAAGTGCTGTATATGTGCGAAAAAAAGGACAATGCCCGGTCAGAACTCCTACTATGTCCGAAAGGCTCTTAGGTATTTACGCCATCGCAGAGACAGATTTAGCGGTTTATTACCAAAAAATTGCACCAATATCAATGAGCTTCTTTGAATTCTATGATCCACCTCGGGATCGCCTACCTTGAGGTGCTAGCTCGCTAAGTTGTTCAAGGTTTACATATCCAGAAGTAGTCTGCATGTTGAAAGCGAATGGATTTAGGCAGAGATGACAAGCATTCTTTCTGGTCGCTCTTGTCACACAGTAATTACCCTTCGAAATTGATGGCAGTAATGTTATGCTTGCCCGAATCCCCCGCCTATGGGAAATTCTTAACAGAAGACTAGCGCGCTGATATTTCCATCAAGCTTCGACCCAAGGGTTTTGCACCATCCAGCCTACCAGTGCGGGTTTATGGTTTAACAAGAGCTACTTAGCGCCAGCTCGCTGTAACAATAATTCATAGAGCTGCTCAAGAGCAGCGGATCAGGTGTTATATTATAAAATGGATATTATGGGCGCTTAAAATCTGGGAAATAAATAACAATCCCAAAGGTGTACCAATAAAATGTTTGTGCTCAAGAATTTGTACACAAAATTTATGAAATCAAAATAAATTCACCATTTTAAACCATAAAATGACTTGGGAAAATTTCTGCCGTTTTATCTTCGAGGTTAGATGCTCTTGGGTTAACCTTAAAAAACGTATGGCCATATGCACGTATGTTGTGTAAAAATAGTCAGTTTATATATGTTTATTTATGAGCTCATACGAATTTGGAATCGATAAGGTAGACACGGCGATAGAAGAAATTTTGAAATTTTTAATAAACACTGTACTGAAAGCAGCCGAATTCGATTGATTTATACGGCCAAAATAATTTTTCTAATCGGTTTTTGCTAAAAAATATATTCTATTTATGTAAGTTTCAAAAAAAAAAAAAAAAAAAAAATAATAATAATAATAAATAAAAAATAAAAATAAGAAATGTTTTTGAAAATTGGGGGATTTAATTCACGACATATGTGTCCTTCAGCTTTTGAACACCGAAACTTCTTTTACTCACAAACTGTTAAATTGAAACAACACGTATAAGGAAAAGCGAATAATTTCACTGTTCTTGTGCTTAACACATTTAGTTGGTATTCCAAATTGTTTACACACCTTTGCCTCATCTGTTTTCGGTATAATACCCCTTAGCGGCTCACACTCACGCTCAGTGTAGTTGTATACAGCAACACAGGTTTGATATAGTTCTTGGTTTAGCATCACCGGACCGGCTAACATAAGGGACAGAAATATCAAAAAGACTGGTAATTCCATGGAAATTATCCTTCTTCGAACTTTTCGTTTCGCTTGCGGTTTAAGTGGATCTTCCGGAGAGGGCTCATCTGGCTCTTCTTTTTCTGCTGCCACTGTTGTGATGGTGGGCATATAGGCTGGCGGCACGCCATTTAGCTCGGTGTCGAATGTGAGCTGCTCTAAGGACATGCCAATGGCATCGCGGGTATCCAGTATATTCTTCTCCTTTAGGTCTGTCATTTTTTTTTACCACTCAAGTGTATGTCTCTTCAATAACTTTGCTGTGGACACGGAAGCTTAATTTTTTTATCACTATAATTTCATAAGTAGTAGTCACTTGATTTAATTTAGTTATTAGTTTTTCAGTCTCGATTACTCTTCACACTGTGCATTTGTAAACTGTGCGAACTTCACGGGCCGTCAGGAAAAACAAACTGAGTGGGAGAATGTCAATAATATGGCTTTTTAACGCACAGTTAACTGATACGGGGGCTATCTGAACTGCTAATCAATAAGGCGACCAGGCAATTATGGGCGATAACAATTTAAAGATGTTTAAAGATTGTGAAAATGTATATGTATGTGCATGTGTATGGGTGTAATAAGATAAATGTAAAATGCGTATATACGTTGTGGTGATCTTTGCACGTGAAGAGCTCGAGCAATTCGAGTTTGATTTTTAAAAATTATAAAAAATCATTTTACAAATGCAAAAGTTCGAAAGAAATGCAAATTTTTAGTTTAAAAATAAAATAAAATAATAAAAATATTATTATTTGCTACAAAAGATTAGCGATAAATTTAATGGCCCATGACCAAATTTATGGTCAACGCTTCTGCAAAGCTTATGAAAAGTTGTGTGCCTTCTACATGGGAATGTACGAGGTGTGTTCAAAAAATATCGCGAATTTTGTATTTTTTTCAAAAATTATTTATTTATTATTGAATACCTATTTTGTCCCCTTCAAAGTAATCCCCATGAGATATTATACACTTGTGCCAACGGTTTTTCCAATCTTCAAAGCGCTTCAAAAAATCATTTTTTCTTATCTTGTTCAGCTCCTCATTCGATGCCGTCTATATCTCGTTAATCGTAGTGTAACGTCGTCCTTTCATGGGTCTCTTCAGTTTAGGGAACAAGAAAAAGTCACAGGGGGCCAGATCTGAGAAAAACGGCGGCTGCGGCATATTTAGTGTGTTGTTTTTGGCCAAAAAGTCGCGCACAAGCAACGATGTGTGAGCAAGGGCGTTATCGTGGTGCAAAAGCCTATTTTTGTTCATCCACAAATCCGGGCGTTTCTGGCGGATTGCTACGCGCGAATCGCGCATAACTGCAGTCGAAGAAAACTGTCAGCAAAACATTTATTAAAAATTAAAAATCGAAGACCATCCAAAACACGTGCAAGCAAAGCAGCTGTCAACAATTAAGTGAAAATTCAAAATGGCCGAGCTTATCGGCATAAGTGACAGACATGAGTACCAACATAACGCCACAAAAAAATCGAAATTCGATTATACGTAACCCGCGAAAATTTAAAATTCGCGATACTTTTTGAACACATTTCGTATGTATGTATGTATTTTAATAGGGTTTCTATTCTTATAGAAGTGTAAAAATAAAGCTTAAAATCTTTATAATTGATGTTATTGCATTTTATATTATTTTTTAATGTTTTAGTTTAATGATTTTATTGTACTAATTTTTCACTTCGAACAATTTATTATAGTATTTTAATTTCTTTAGATAAATATTCTGTATTTTTCGAAAATATTTTCAGAAATTGCTTTCTCATTCACCATAATAAACACCATAAATATTTACAATGCTAAAAAACGTTATCTAAATACATACATGTATATGCACATGTACGATTATATATTAAATACGATTATGGAGAAATTCTGTGAAGAATGAATGGAAATTAGCTGACGAATTGTGAATAAGCAACTGAATTTTTTAGATTCGCAAAAATATTAAACAAAAGGAAGCAAACAGCGTATTTCATACATTTCATAAAATCAGCTCAATGGAGGTAAACTCAATTTTTTAGGCGGCGAAAGGAAAGTTCATAGCACCCAATAAACGCATAGAAAAGTCGATATCAACTAATAACAAATGAGGATACCTGATATGAAAATAAGTTATTGAGCTTTTCGAATCTTTCCGCAAATCCTTATGAAATTCTCGATACCCAGAAATGCAATTAGTCAACGAACGGTGGAAGGAATCCTTTTTTTTGTAAGTTCTTCAATCCAAATCTCCTGCGCTTTTCAGTTTTCTCAATCAAAACACTTCTTGAGTATGAAGAAAATTTGTAACTTAATTTAGTACCGGATATTACAGACGGTCTTATTCAAACTTCATTCTTTTTAATGTCTCTTATTATCGATTCACCGTGGCTAAGTCGCCTCCAACATCAGCAAAACTTTCCCCGTTGACTAAGCAATCTAAAATAGCAATTTTAATTTCCAACGTAATTGCTTTTCGTTGCTGCGTCTATTTTTTCATCCTCAAACAAATTTTTATTTCAAAATTAAAAAAAAATAAAAATCCTAATCAGCCAAACCAAATTAATTCAAAATCTTTTAACACAAAATCAGCATTAGATTCTCAAGAAAAATCGAAAAATCGCATAACCTCAAAACCGCATAAAAAAAATTGCAGAAAAAGAGAATTGAGTGTATAATAAAAATAACAACACACTGTTCATTTTTGTATGTTTAAAACTTAAGAGATTATCACTGTCTCTTCACACAAACAAATGTGTTTGTATGGCGGTGCGTGCACAGCAAATAGATTACTAGAGATAAAAGGATATTTGTGGCTTGATAAGCATACACTAATGTACATATGTATATTGTTTACAATAACACATATGTAGTACATATCGTTTAAGTTAACTAAGCTAAATAAAAATTATATATACGAGAAGTAATTATTTAAGATGAATAAAATAAAATAAAATAAAGTAAAATAAAATTAAGTGTCAGGTGTACAACTTTGCTTCTGCCGTTTTTTTCCAAAATTAAAAGCTTTATTGCGAAAAAGTGCTTACAGATATATTAGTCAAAGTATTGTCCCTCGCTAGCGACAACTTTTTCCCATCTTTCCGGCAATATTCGGCCGGGATCTCGAAAAAAGGAGTCCTCTTTTTACGCTATCCATGAAGCAATGCATCTTTTTCCAATTCTTCGAAGGATTGAAAATGTTGATCTGCCAGGCCGTGTGCCATCGAACGGAATAGGTGGGAGTCAGAAGGGGCGACATCTGGAGAATACGGCGGGTTTGGCAAGACTTCCCATTTCAGCGTTTACAGGTAATTTTTGACCACTTTTGCGACGTGAGGCCGAGCATTGTCGTGTTGGAGGATGACTTTGTCATGTCGCTCTTGATATTGTGTCCGCTTTTCTTTTAGCGCGCGCCTAAGGCGCTTCAGTTGCGTTCGGTGGCGATCTTCTGTGATGATTTCACCCGGTGTTAAGAGCTCGTAGTAAATCACACCGAGCTGATCCCACCAAATACAAATCAAAACCTTGTTTGTCTTCGACCTCGAAATCACCATTTTTAAAACGTTGAAACCACTCCCGACACGTTCTTTCACTTAGAGCAGCATCACCGTAAGTTTCTGAGAGCATTCGATGCGCTTCAGCTGCATTTTTTTTTCGAATTGTAACAGAAAAGTAAAACTTCCCGCAAATGGCGAGAATTAGGCACATAAACGGTCGTTTTCGAGCGTGAATAATACGAAAACAAGAACAACTGTACCTGCAACGGCGATGACAATTCGTTAGGCACTGTCCACACTCACTTTAAAGGCATTATCATCTATGTATTCAAACGGCGGAAGCAAAGTTGTACACCTGATAAAATAAACTAAAATAAAATAAAATAAACTAAAATAAAAAAAAAAATAATAATTAAGATAAAATGATATAAAAAAATTAAAAAAAAAAAAATAAAATAAAATGAAATACATAAAATCCAATGCAAAATAATTGTGTAACGATAGGAAGTAAATAAAAAAATAAACAATTTATTTAATTAACGAAAAATTAAACCAATATGTTCCCTTTAGAAGTTTGTAAAATATTTCACGACAAAAGTGTTTCAAAACTGTTCTTTTTATTTTTTGAGATATAATTTTTGGCCCAATCCGAATGGTATTAGGACCTCCCGAAATATTTTTTCCATACCTAATACATATAACTGATATATAATATATAAAATATTATTGGCGTTTTTGTTGCCGCCGAAGCGACTTTCGGCCCATCTCCTCCTCTAATTGCTCTTTTAGGCCAGAAATACACTCCGATTGGTTGACATTCCCTGCGGGGGGGCAACCGCAAATAAAAAATTTAGCTTATTTTTTTCAATCTTGTTAAATTATTTTCATATTTTTGAAAATTTACGTTATGTATAAGTGGCGGGTATGAACTTGGGCCGATTTCGTATATTCGTACCTAAGGTCTATGTAAACCGAGTTTAATCAAAATATTTAATGAGTTATGATATGATATGATTTGGGGGAACGCTTGCATACACAACCACAGATTCGTCTCGTTATTCATAGAAGTTTGATTTATAATAACATTGGACATATATGTATGTATATTGAAGTATTAAAAAAGAGTCTTAGAAATATCTGAAACTTTTAGGTTTGACATGAGTCGATTTAAAAAATTTGGATTTCAACACCAAAAAGTAGAAAATGACTTTATTTTTATTTTTAAAGCAAATAACTTATTTTATTTTCGTAAACAATATATGTTCCATGTCTTTTTCTGTGTACGAGTACATAAACATGTGTAGTTCGTCATCAACTTAAATACTAATCTTACATACATATATTTTTGACTTTGCATGTGTTTAACAAGTTAAATCCTGTAGTTTTCTCTTATTCAACTGTGTAATATTTAATTAAGTATTATTAAAAATTTTATATTTTGAAAATTCTCATAAAAGACTGATATTTATACAATAACAATCTATCGACATTTCATTATATTTTTTTTTTTAATATTTTCTGTAAAATGTCTTTTATAAAAATTTAAGTCTTCTAAAATCATCAGTCTCGCCTTAGCCTGATTACCGTTACAGTGCTTTAAACTTTCATTAATATCCTCTAAGCCACCACCTGCGATTGTGATTTTCTGGCGCGGATACGCTGCATAATAAACAGAGTGCTGCAAGTAAGGTAAAAATATTTTGTTTTCATTAATTTAGTATAAAATATTTCGTTGTAAATTAGACACTTACGTAACCAACACAAAGCACACGAGATATATGGAAGCGCTCAGTAAGTAAATGGCACCGGGATAAGATTGCAAGGTAGCGTTGTAAATACCCGTGTAGACCGGTGCCGAAGCCAATGGAGAAAGAGTTTGCAGCGAAGAAATGACAGCGTATATTTTACCTGAAATATGCAATGAAAGTTATATGAAAATGAAATTCTCTCTAATTCGCTTTACTCGAGCTCACCGATTTCCGTCGCTTCTACTAAGCCGGCAAGCACGGCTTGCAACATGGGACTATTGATGCCGGCCATAAAGCCGCACACAGCTCCCAGATACATTTCCCAAAAGTGTTGCGCCAACGAGCGTACCAAACTCTCCATGAAACAACCCAATAAGCCGAGTATAGAAATTACTAATAACGGCACTTTGAATATCTACAAATCAAATTTCCAAATAGAGAAGTTTTAGCTTTTAATAAACCAAAAAGTAAAAATATTTATTTCCATGAAACTCACCACACGCAGTAAAAGCAGAACTAAACCACAGCCAATCATTTTAATGACGATGGAAGCGGCATTAAATGTTGTGAAGTCCTGCAGAGTGACATTAAATTTGTTGCGTAAAAACAGATAGGAAAGACCGACTTCACCCTCTGCATTCGAGAAAAATGTAAAGAAAATAGTACATGTTACATATGTGCGTATTTTTGAAAAATCCATTTTTAAAAAACTCACGCTGCACAAAAGTTGTGGTGACCAAGGTGAACATAATACACCAAATGACAGCGCGATTAAAAAGTTGCCTGCGCTTCACGCAACTATTTATCAGTTCCTTGATTAAATCGAAATGGAAGAACTCGCGCAGCTTCGACTAATTATTTAATAGAAAAAATGTTTCACTTTTGACATTCAAACTGAGCTGATCGGTGTCTAAGAAACTTACCTCCTTTCGTTCGTGTTTCACCTGCAGACTTTCGCCGACAAAGAAGAGTAGATACAGCAACGCGAGCAAGTCAAAGCTGGCGGCGGTTGCGAACACACCAATAGTGCCGGTGCCAGCGAGTATATAACTGCTTATAACATTGCCTACGACAGTGCCAATGCCCAACGCGCCATCGACGAAGAACATGCTATGGAGCGACAAAGTTTTCAAATTTTAATTTCAAAAAATAAAAAAATGATAAAAATAAAATTTTTAAAGTCAAGATAATATATATTATTGTTTTCAGTGGTCTCGGTAGCCGTAACCACTCGGCGTTAAATAAAAAATAAAAAATTAAGCTAAATTTTCTAACTTGGGTCGCCCCTACGGCAGAGAATTTCAACCCTTCCCAGTGTATTTCTGACTGAAATAAAGTTCCTCATAAAAACCAACAGCCGTTCGGAGGCGGCTTAGTATAAACTCTAGGTCCCTCCATTTGTTGGAAAAATATCAAGAGACAAAACCACAACCTCCTCCAGCTCGACGGAAAATCGTTTCAGAACATTCCATTAGTTAACTAGTTTAGCCAGTACTCACCGTCTCGCCTTGCCACCCTCATCCGACACATCCGACACCAGACAGAATACCATTGTAATTAAGGCACAAGTGCCTCCAGTCATGGTCAAGGGTATAGTAGATAGAATATAAATCCATGGATTTAATGGCGTTATCATAGATAAACCGGCTAGTATTGTTGTTATTGTATGCCCCGTTAAAGCCGCTGTTTAGAATGAGAAATTAAAAAAAATACAGTTAACGGAATTTTCATAAAAAATTACATAGAAAATAACTATTATTTTGATTTACCTGAAAACGTCGCCACAAGCACTGGTCGTCGTCCAAATTTATCGGACCAAGGTCCTATGAATAAGCTGAGAAAGGCCGGTAAGACGCTGCTGATCACCAAAGATGTCATAATAATTCTAGCCACATAGGGTTGTATTTCGGTTTCGATGGCCTTGGAATAAGAAATGAAAATTATAAAAAATTATAATATATACGTGTATCTATACATATATATATATCTATATATATATTATATATATATCTATATATATATATTTTTTTTTTAATAAAAGGCATCAACTCAGATTTTCGAAGAATTGTAGCGCTACTCTGAACGTGCTTACGTGAGTCGTGAGCTTCACTATTGCGCCTAGAACTATGCTAAATTAATCATACTTTTTTGAATTTTCTAAATTTTCATAGATTAAAATTTTGCTAGAATGATGCGCCAATCATAGTACTGTTACTTACAAAAAAATGAAAGTAGAAATAGGAATAGCTTTTTAATAATTTGATGTTTAGTACAATACAAACAAAACACTCATTGGAGCAATTATTCCCTACCATTCTTGAGATTAGAAGCTATTCATCGCAATAATAACTAGAAAAGTGCTTAATGGTCCACAGTATAGGAAATACAGCATGGGAAACATTAAGAAACACAAGTAGGGAAAGCTAAGTTTGGGTGAACCGAATATTATATTATTTTTATTTAAAACTATTCAACTCCCGGTGACTTATTTGAGATTCACAGGAAGGAGATGGGCTTGTTTGTTAGTAATTTTTGGCAAATATTTACAGTTACAATACACTAGTTACAATGAGTTCAAGTTTTCTCTATAAATTATTTAAATATTAGATGAGATCATAAGTCCAAAAATCGGCCAAAAATAGAATGTCTATTATTTGGTAGGTAGGTCGATTTCAAGACCTATTTAACCCATTTTTCGAAGAAGAACATTTATCTCAATGAAAAGTAGTATATCTACTAAGTCCCCATGAGCTTCCTGGAGTTCCGTTGATGAATGCCAGAAATGTTTTTTAAGTTTGAAACTAGTGGCAGTATGTAGAGTGGAGAAATTGTTATATGAGACAAAAGTGTAGTTGTTGCCCGCTAATGCTCATATGCAATTCGTGTTTTGACTAGACCATGGTAACTACAAATATGAGATTTTATCAAATTCCATCAAGTGGTTTCTGAGATATACTTTTTGACCCAAAAGTGGATGGTAACACGCCTACCCGCAGTTTTCTTGCTCCCCTTGCTGGGTAGTTCCAAACAAATATGATTTTAATTGCATATTTGGTTACTCAGTCCCCGATTTTCGTAGTTTTGAAAATTAACTTTAGGCTGGAGATATTGACCGCAGGAACGTGTGAACTGAGTTTCATCAAAATATGCCATGTCCTTACTTGAACTATTGCATGGACGAAGGACGGACAGACGGACATACAGATATGGTTAAGTTGATTTAAATTGGAAATATATATATATATACTCTCTAGGTTAGTTTATGCAATGCCATACAGCCGTTAGGCGAGTATAATTACTCACAGCACATATTAAAAAAAAAAAAGAATTGAGCTCGATAAGAGCCCTGTTATTTGCTGTGTATGTATATATGTATGTACATACAAAGAATTAAAATGCAATTTTGGATATCAACGAGTCACTGGGACTGATAGATAATAGCCTATAATGATGAAATTTCAAGTTTATCGACAAAAAAGGAACTAAAAATCTATGTAAAACCTTAAGCTTATTAAAAAGATACATATTAAGTTGCATCTACTGATTTATATCGAAAAAAGTGTATCTTTCTGGAAATCTACTCACTTCCGATTCTTCAGTTTTCGGCCCAATGCCCCACATGGGCTGACATGCCGTCTCATTGTGTTCATAGACCACCGTACAGGTTTGATAAAGTAACTGATTCTGAAACACTCCACCTATTCACATGTTAATACAGTTATTTTAGCGTCAATTGAGTATTCAAAAACCAAACTTACTACAAATATTCAAAGCAGTGTATATCAAAAAGACGGCCGGCTCAATTGCGGTACGTTTAACGCCCCTCGGTATTCGAAAAACTGTAGGCTCACTCGGCGTAGCGGTTGCAAGAGCGTTGCTACGCGCATTAAAAGTTTCACAATTTTCTTCATTTTCCGACGAAAATAAAGATTGTCTATCCTCTCCGTTTTCTCGTGCCATTTTTTTGATTTGAATATTTGTTAATTAAATTATTTTTATTGCCAACTTTAATTTATATCACAGCGTTAATTATATTTTTAACTTTGTTGAAAATACGTTGCGTTGCTTTAATTGTCCATATTTTATATTATTTGTCGTCTTGAGTTGTTCGTGTACTCTGCGCGGTCGTTAATCGACTCATTGATTAGCACTAAAATACGCAGAATGTTATATTAACATCGAAGCGAGAACGCCCAGCACTGCACCACATTTGTAAAGCACCGAGTGGGAGCGTAATTTAGAAGTGTATATACCCAACATGATTGGAAAAGAGAGTGAGAGCATTGGTGAGCGTGTGAGTCTTGAAATAAAACCGGTTTTATTTAATTTGTATTAGAAAAGTCAGTGAAATTGACAGCTGTCAATGTTGTTAAGGAACCGTAAGTTAGTATTGAAAATATTTCTTTTTTTTGTGATTTCGAAATTGAAATATTTTTTTGAATTGGTTGTGTTTCGTTTTGAAGTGTCACTGAAATTTAGCGAGAATCTCTCTCGGATGTTTCCAATGGCCCATACAGAGGAGTAACATTTTTTTTGTACTTTGGAACACCGTTGGTCTGGTCGGGTTTTATTTTAGAAACTTCAACTCAAACCGGTTAAAAAAAAACACAAGTTGATTACTTTGTTCTGTTGTCTACCATGCTTTCCAATAACCTGATAACTTTAGCGTTCTCCTGCTGGTCGCGTGCAATGCGGTTTATTTGCGTTAAAAGTAAAAACGGATTGATTGTGAATAATTTTAAAAAACTAAGGAAAATTTTTGTACTGCTTCTCAGCGGTTGTCTCTTACAGATATTTTTATTCCAATTCGGATCGTATATATTTTCATTGTGTGGGGTATACATGTATTGTATGTGAGTACAAATGGCGCAATGAGTCAATATTTTCATTCTCACAAAATTTTCTAACAATACATATTTAACATTTGCTGTTTTTGTTTATTATTGTTAGCTATGGGGGATATACATACATGGCATGAGTCGCCCTTGCTTTATAAGCAATTTTCTAACAGCTCAGCTGTGCTACTACTGATAAGAAATGCTATCTAAATATTTCTTTTTTTTTCTGACGATTTAGTTATCATTTTAATTATTTGTATATCAGCATAATCGAACATACCAAAAAAAAACAAAAACAAAATATTTGCTATTACACGGTACTGTGGAAGATATTTCCGGTAATTTTATTTTCCAAAAAATATTTTGTAATTATGTATATATGTATATACATATATATATACACGAAGTTAGTTGAAGATATGAAAAATGAGTTTAAGAATAGAATTTAAAAAGTTCACAGACTTAGAGAGTCCGGTTGACAAACATAAATGTAGTTACATAAAACTTTCAGCTGTTTTTTTTTTATTCTGCCCAGATTAAAGGATCTTTTATGAGCGCGATTATTTTGATTTGGAAATGGATCCAAGAATTTGTATAAATTTTTGCTTAAAAATGTAACGACGAAGGGACGGAAGGTTGTGTTGTTTTGGGTATGAAGCGTGTGATAGTAAAATTTGTGCCAAAATTGTTGAATTTTAAACTAAAACAGCAGCTAATGGCTTTTGATCGCGAGTCGCTTAACTAGGCAAAATTCTATGCAGAATTACTGCAACTGGTGGCGAAACATGCGTTTACGGATATGGTGTTGAGACTACTGTAGAGGCTTTCTGGCTCACCAAGAACCGATAAAGGCGCCACAAGTGCAGTCGAATATCAAGGCTGTGCGCATAATTTATTCATAATTTTTTTTTTGTTTGGTTTTATATTATTTTAGTTTATTTTATTTTGCCTTTTAAATTAATTTCATTAAAATATATTTCATTTTATTTAATTTCGTGTATTTTTTAATTATTTCAATTTAATTTAATTTTACTTTAGTTTATTTTTATATTATGACATTTATTTTATTACATTGGTTTAATTAATTTCTTTCGATTTTATATTCCTTTAGTTATTTTATTTGATTTTTTTAAATTTGATTTAACTTAATTTAATCTGATTAAGTTATTTAGTTTAAATTCTTTTCATTTGATTTTGTTTTATTTTATTTTATTTTATTTTATTACATGTTATTGGATTTGTAAATCATGGTGCAGTGATTCTCAATTATTTTCGCTCGGGCAGACTTTCATAATTTAAATTAAAAAAAAAATTGAGTTAAATTAAAATAAGAAGAATTTTCAGGAACTCATCAATATTATTTTTTAAATGATAACATCTATGATTTTCAAGGTCAATATTTATATGAATTTATGTGTGTAGAATACGCTCTCACACACATTTTTGACAATGACGGTATCATATATGAAGAAATCGTTTGTTTCGATTTCGATTATTTTCGGTGTCAATGTTTATTTGAAAAAAAAAAAAAATCCGAAAACTGTAATAGAACAAATAAAGCTTCCTGCGACAACACGTGGAATAATTTATAGATTATTCTGAAAGTTTTTAAATTGAATTTCGGCCTTTACACACCGAAATTTGTTCATTCTCCTAATTCTGAGACCACCATGTCACTCATCACAAATGAATTTTCGACCGAATCAAAAGTTTTTATTTCTGATTTGGAATCTGAAAAAGTCCAATGACTTCTAGTTTAGCTAATGCGATTATATTTTTTTTTTAATTATTTTGCATGTTGTGCTAAAAAGGATTTCAATCTATTTCTCACAGCATACTAGCACGAATTCCCAAGAAAACGGCTACTGCGCCCGCCGGATTCATATTTTATTTAACAGTTACAACTACGCACCGCACAGTTATTTGTTTTAAGATGGAAAATTGAAACAATGACACGAAGGCTATTGTAGTTGCTTGCAAATTCTTTCACAAGTCACACTTAAATAAAGAAATGAAATTAAGCAATTAAAAGTACTCACAATCGATGTCTCATTCTTGGCTATCACGCCCAGCATCGGCTCGCACACTTCCTTGTCATAATCGTAAACGGCGACACAAGTCTGATAAAGTTGTTGATTTTGCAGCACAGCAGCTTTTTGGAAGAGAAAAAAACAAACAAAAAATTAAAATAAAAACAAAAGCAAATATAAATCACAACTTTCTCAGGCAACTACAATTCCCCAAAAATATTCGCTTACTCGCTAAACTCGTTGCGACGTAAATTAGAAAAACAGCCGGCTCAATAACTGTGAATCTCTTTTTCAGCGCCGAGTTTACCGCTACGCTTGCTTCACTTGCATCCGTTGTCTCTTCGGGATTTTTATGCGCGCTTTTCAGATCAAATAACGACATTGGTGTTGCATCCGGCGTTAAGGACATTACACTGCTAACTTCCTCCAAAATCTCTTCCAGCGAAAGTTTAGAATGCCGCGTAGGCGACAAATCCAGAGTCGACGGTGGTAGCTTCTCCCGACGAGTAACCATTTTTATCCAAATTATTTGTGCGCTTTTGATTTTTCAAATCCTCTGCTCTTCGTTAAGCTTTCAGTCCGTGATGCTCTCGTGGTTGATTCGCTTTAAATGCTTATTTTGCTAAAACATTTGATTATATACCTTCTTAACAATCTGCTCTGTTTAAACATAGATGAGATAACAGTATCGCAATAAAAGTACATGCAAACGCGGTCGGACGAAGCATATGGAGGTGTTTGAAGTGTCTATAGCAGCAAAGGCGTGCTTGTTGACTCACTATCGGCAGGTACTTTTTACACTTCAGCGCCAAATTTATGGCAGCAAAATATTTAAATTTTGTTTGTTTGTAAAGAGATTTTGAGAGAATCGCAAGTTGGGAAAAGTGTGTTGTGCGAAATTTGGTTTTCGGCTGTTTTAAGACAATTGTGATTTGTTACGCTACATAACATACATATACTTATATCTGAAATTGACGCTTTATGTAATCGCTGAAGTGCTTTTCGGCCGAGCTCATCCACCATATTATGGTATGCGTCTTGATGTTTTTCCAACAAATGGAGGGTTCTATTAAAGTTAGTTTTTTCATTTAAAATTCTTTTCGATAACTTTTGGATGTCGGTAGAACCAGGATTCGCACCTTGTCCTTGCTAACCACTCGGCTATCGCAGCCGCAATTACATATACTTGAGATTATCGAATACTATGGTAGACAACAACACAAAATAATCAACATGAGTCATTCAGTCGCTTTAAGTGGAAGTCTCTAAAACAAAACCCCAAATGATTAACAGTTTTGAAAAGTAAGAAAATAGTACTTAGGGTGAATGGGCCTCAGTAAAATTCTCTCTGTTTGGAAATTTCAGTCAAACTCGAAACAAATGGCACAGCAAGTAAAATGGCGCCTCTTAATTTGTTAAAAGAATATCAAATACGAGGGTTGCTTTTTATATTTCGGTATTTGGGTTGCCTAGGAATTAAATCGCGATCATTTTCGCGCGATTATTTTTATTAACACTCAACGTAGATTAACTCAGCGACAGTGCATCGTTTAACTTGATTGCATTTTTGCCGATGAAGCTTCATGAAGGGCCAGTGTTAACGGTGGTGTGATGAATTTTATCGAGATCGGAAATCACTCAATGGCGAATTTTGTGGGGATTGTCCAAAATCCGTTCTTGTTCCGGATACTATTAATGCTGTGCGCAAACTGAATCGTCATCGTCATGGAAACTATTGTGAAATTGAAATAACTATATGAGTAGGTATTAACAGTGTTGGTATACATTTAATATTATATTTGCATTTGACTGTGAAAAAATTAGATGCCGCATAATTTGCCAATCATTCAAAATAATATATAATGGGAAATTTAATACGATTTCGTATTAGTTGAAGCTTAATTAGAACTTTTCGTTATTCTTTACCTATGATCTCCTTTATAAAGCCTTTGTGAAAATGAAGTAGAAAAAAACTTATAAAGCAACAACAACGTGTGGCTGGGGTCTACTAGTTTATGACTATACTTTGAAATGGATGCCGTGACGTATGAGCAATGCATTTAGTTTACATTCATATTATAGGGTTTTCCAATAGCATTGGCTTGATTTCTAAGTGCCGTTTTTGGCCATTTTTAATATGTCATGATGTGCAATGTTTACAATTTCATCATGGCAAGATATACGCAAGAATAACGTTTACAAACAACAACAACTCGAAAATGATAACGATTTTTCTGAGAATCATCACCTTCTCCGTTGAGGCTCACTTTCATCTGTGTGGT